CGACAAGATGCAGGTTAAAAACAGTCAAATACAAAGAGTGAAAAAGAACTCTCATTAATATTAACAACACACTGCTCCTTCAGTAAAGACGTAGTAAACACAACACAAAACAACAGACTTTCACATCATATTCATCTCAGCACAAAACTACAAAATGGAGTCTGACCTCAGAGTCTCCAGTCGACAGTCTGGACTCTCCAGAAAACCACACAGCTGCTTCACTCCTGAATCCTGCAGCTTGTTTCCACTCAGGTCCAGGTGTCTCAGGTGGGAGGGGTTGGACTTCAGAGCTGAGGCCAGAGAAGAACAGCTGATCTCTGACAAACTGCAGAACCACAGTCTGAACGAAGAATAAATAAAGCAGATAAAAATCATTGATATTCAATCAGATACGTCCTAATCAATGAGCTCACATAATGTACTGCTGAACTCACTCAGTGCAGTTCATAAATTTAGAATCAATATCAGATTAGACATGTTGGACTAAAATTATTTAATTTATTACATGATGTTCTTCCTGTATTCGTCAGCTGAGGTTTGTGTAATTAAACAATGTTAAAGGAAAAGTTCACATTTTTTGTCTTAACAACAGGCAGAAGTCACAAGTAGATTAAAGGCATTAATCCTTCCTGCTGTCCACACTGACTGTGAAGTGGTCTCTTCCCTACAGAACTACACTGTATGATGACTGTATGAAATGACCTGATGAGTTCAGCTGCAGCTGAATGAAGCTTCAGAGTCAGAGTCACACAGATCTAGTGGCTGTCGACTAAAGTTACCGACTATTTAGTACAACATTTCCTCTTTGAGTTACTGTCTCTCCACTGTAGCTCAGGAAGGAAACACTGTGGAAACACAAAGATACTGAACCTGATCTGTGACACTCAGACTGCTGGTATTGGTTTAAGCCGGTGACTGGTTTCAGGTGCATATGGACACATAAGTACTGTATTAAGATAGACTTGACAAAATGTGAACTTATCCTTTAAGACAAAGATGTTTCTGGTGCAAACTATTTATTTGGTTTTTGTTCCAGTCTGAACATTTGTGGCTTCAATGATTCTGCAATGTTGACATGAAAACTCAACAACACTTACATAGATCTGTTCTGAAGAATAAATATGAAATGGTAAATGGACTGCATTTATATAGTGCTTTACAATGGTTTTAAGATTCAGCCACACTCAAGGTTTTAAATGGGATTAATATAGGAAAATAATAACGGCTCCAGTCAGTGAACGGACCTCAGAGTCTCCAGTCTACAGTTTGGACTCTCCAATCCAGCAGACAGGACCGTCACTCCTGAATCCTGCAGGTTGTAGTTTCCACTCAGGTTCAGCTCTCTCAGGTGGGAGGGGTTGGACCTCAGAGCCGAGGCCAGATTTTCACAGTGAGTCTCTGAGAGTCGACAGCCAGAAAGTCTGTGATTAGAGAAAGTATAAAATCTGTTATTTGAACAACAATTAGTAATAAAACGTTAATAGCCTTCCAATACACTGTACCATTTCTCTACAGCAACAAGAGAGAAAACCCCTGCGAGTTTCTGTTTGATTTTCACTCTTAAAAATGAAAAGTTTAAGTCATAACCAATAAAGCACACTCTTGATGAAGTCGATGCACTCAGAGGTTCAGAGGTCTGGTGAGTTCACTTCTTTCTAACTCCACAACCTCAGATTCTTCAGATCTGATTGACACCGAGTCATGTGACATCACTTGAGGACATTTATTTACACTTCACACAGCTTCCTCTGGAGACCTTTAAGGCTTCATACTACTGTTTTCTCCTTTAACTCTTTTTATCAGGTTTGTATAAACCCAAAAAGACTCAAAATAACACAAACACAAATAACCAATGAACGTACAATCTGACAATTAATTACACATACACACAAAAACTGTTTTCATTAACTTAACAGCAATAATCACAACCAACTGTAAATCTACATTTTTGGTGCACACAGCATTTACAACAGTTAAATAACACAACTAACCTGTAACTGTGAAATATAAAACTAAGAATAATGAAAATAAAACAATTCTGTTAATATTTGAAGAACTAAACTACTAATCTACACTGATTGATCATGTTAATGATCATGTTTGGACTCACCGAGCCTTCCTGCAGTTCCTCACAGCTGGGATCAGTCTCCGTCGTCCCTCCTCTGATGTGTTGAACTTCTCCAGGTCCAACTCATCCAGAACCTCCTCTGACATCTGCAGCATGTAGGCCAGAGCTGAGCAGTGGATCAGAGAGAGTCTCTTCTCTGATCTGTTCTCTGACTTCAGGAACTCTTGGATCTCCTGATGAACTGAGTGATCCTTCATCTCCATCAGACAGTGGAAGATGTTGATGCTTCTGTCAGGAGAGATATCATCAGTGCTCATCTTCTTCAGGTTGGTGATGGCTCTCTGGATGGTTTCTGGACTGTTCTCTGTGTGACCCAGCAGACCTCCTAAGAGTCTCTGGTTGGACTCCAGAGAGAGGCCATGAAGGAAGCGAACAAACAGGTCCAGGTGACCGTTTCTACTGTAGAGGGATTTCTCCATGGCTGCCCCCAGGAAGACATCCAGAGAAGGATCTCGGCTATCACTGTTTCCAAAAATCTTATAAATCTTCCCAAAAAAAGATTCTGAGTTCCAGTGTTTGTAGTCTTTCTCCAGGAAGTTCTCCAGGACCTCTGTCTTCCTGTTGGTGTAACAGTGGAACATGTAGACTGCAGCCAGAAACTCCTGAACGCTCAGATGAACAAAGCAGTAGACTGTTTTCTGGAAGATCACACTCTCTCTTCTGAAGATCTCAGTACAAAGTCCTGAGTACACCGAGGCCTCTGTGACATCGAGACCACACTGCTCCAGGTCTTCTTGGTAGAACATGATGTTTCCTTTCTCCAGATGTTCAAACGCCAGCCTCCCCAGCTTCAGAAGAACTTCCCCGTCAGCCTCCGTCAGCTCCTGTGGACTCGTCTCACGTCCCTCATGGTACTTGTTCTTCTTCCTCTGTGTCTGAACCAGCAGGAAGTGTGAGAACAGGTCAGTCAGGGTCTGGGGCAGCTCTCCTCTCTGGTCTGTGGTCAACATGTGCTCCAGAACTGTAGCAGTGATCCAGCAGAAGACTGGGACTTGACACATGATGTGGAGGCTCCTGGACGTCTTGATGTGTGAGATGATTCTGCTGGACAGCTCTTCATCACTGGATCTCCTCCTGAAGTACTCCTCCTTCTGGGCGTCAGTGAAGCCTCGTACTTCTGTTACCCTGTCCACACATGTAGGAGGGATCTGATTGGCCGCCGCAGGTCTGGAAGTTATCCAGACGAGAGCCGAGGGAAGCAGATTCCCCCTGATGAGGTTTGTCAGCAGCTCGTTGACTGATGACTCCTGTGTGACATCAGACACAACCTCCCTGTTGTTGAAATCCAGTGACAGTCTGCTTTCATCCAGGCCGTCAAAGATGAACAGAACTTTACAGACAGCGAGCTGCTCTGCTGTGACCTTCTGTAATGTTGGATGGAAAACATGGAGCAGCCTGAGAAGACTGTACTGCTGATCTCTGATCAGGTTCAGCTCCCTGAACGAAAGCAGAACCAGCAGACTGACATCTTGGTTCTCCAAGCCCTCTGCCCAGTCCAGAGAGAACTTCTGCACTGAGAAGGTTTTTCCAACGCCAGCGACGCCGTTGGTCAGAACCACTCTGATGGGTCTCTGCTGGTCAGGTAAGACTTTAAAGATGTCGTGGCACCTGATTGGAGCGTCATGGAGGGTCTCCATCTTGGAAGTTGTCTCCAGCTGCCTCACCTCATGTTGGGTATTAACCTCTTCACTCTGTCCCTCTGTGATGTGGAGCTCAGTGTAGATCCTGTTGAGGAGGGTTCCACTTCCTGTTCCATCAGTTCCTTCAGTCACATGTTCACATCTGCTCCTCAGACTGATCTTATGTTGATGTAAAACCTCCTGCAGACCACTATCTGCTGAAAGAGAAGAGACAACGTCAGACTGAAGAAAGAGAATCTGAGAATCTGATGATTATTTTCATCAGCTGCAGAAAAACTAAAGACAAACAGAGAAAAGGTTTTAATGTTGTGGTATTTATAATCATCTTAAAGGTCGATGCTGTGTGATGTAACAAATGACTCTGTATAAAACAACAGGTCCTGGTTTCAGAAATGATGACATCATCATACAGATGTTCAGTCTCACTTTGTTCAGTGCTGGTCTGACGGGCTGTCTGCAGTCCAGGTGTTGTTCTGGGTCTTTGTCCACACTGGGGACAGGAGGAGTCTCCTGAAGAACCAGACTGGTCCCAGTATGAGGTGATGCACTGTCTGCAGAACCAGTGTCCACAGCTGGTAGAGACTGGATCCTTCAGGACGTCCTGACTGAGATTTTCACTGAGATTAGAATTGGTTTAAATCTACATTTGACCATTTTCTGCCCCATATGAAGGAGAGAATCTAAGATCAAAAGTCACTTACTAATGATTCATAACTTCAGGGTTTGAATATTTTACAGTGACTTCAACACGAGGGAAAACATACATGAATATTTTTCGTGTAAATTCTGACATGGACGTTCTCAGGTGTTTTGACACAGAAATACCATCAGTAGTTTCAGGTTATAAACCCTGGGAGATCCATCTTAGTTTGAAACACTACCTGCACTAATACTTCTGTATCATGAATATAAATCTTATAGCAGAAAATCATTCTTCATCAGTGCATCATCCTCCTTCAGGTCAGTTTACAGCAGAAACAGTCTCTTACTGTGAGTCTGAGGGTCCAGGTTCATCACTGAAGAATGGAGGTTCTTCTTTGGACCAGTCACTCTTCATAGACAGACAGCTGGGTCCTGGAGACTCTGCTCTGCCCTCCTCTTCCTCCACACAATCACTCATCTTTTGGACTTCAGTCAGTCTGAGATGTAAATTACTGTAACACACAGACACAAGTTTTTAATCGCCCCTTATTCATTCAGTGTCTTTGTGTGGACAGAAGTTAATTCTGACTCGTCTTCCCTCTACAGCCCACAGGGAAAAACTGACTCTTAATACTAATGTTGTTTCAGTCTGTCCAGTAAAATGTCTGAACTCACTGACTCAACACCTTCAGGTTAATGTTCAAATGTTCTCTCCCTGTTTTCATGCACTTTTACCACCTGGGCAGGTTTATATTGTGATTAGTTAATGATCAACTCTCTTGGTTTGATTACACAGGTGCGAGTTTTATCACACCCCAACAAAATATTAATTTGATTATGTTCCACTTAAATAAAACAATTTGTTATTATTCAATTTCAAAATGCAGCTAGATTCAATGGAGGTACAAAAATTGTCCAAAAGAGAAAAGATAAAATATGACTTAAATTAATATTTAACCGTGTCCTTGATCATTTTGGCTGTTGTTCGTCTACAGGACACAATCTCCTAAACACCTGTAGAGCTGATTACAAATCAACAACTACGACCTTGATGAAGCTTGTAATGTTGTTTAATGAAGCGCCAGCTGATCAGTTAGTAACTGTTTGTTTTTCTCAAAGCAGTCACATTAAAAACAGTGTGTATTATCCAACCAGTCAGGACTCTGTATCCACAGATAAATCAAACTGATGAGTTCCTTCTGACTCTTCTTCCATCCACAGTCCACAGAGAGAAAACTGACTCAGAGCCTTTGACAGTAAAATAATAATAATAATGTTGTATTAACACTCACCTGCCTCAGCCTTACGTTTCTGTCTTCCTGCTCTGTGCAGTTAAAATGGAGTCTAACTGCACTGCTCAACATGTTGAGTTTCAGTTCCTCCTCTCATAGTCCATCCAACACAAGTCCATCAACACATGATTCTGCTGATGTGATCTCTTGTGCAGAGTTATGGGGTTAAATTACAACCGTTTAACTAGTTGTGACAGTCCAACGGTCAGCAAACGGTGCCAAGGATCAAAGTGCAAGGAATCTATTATTTTTGCCAAGGTTATGATTATACTGCTTTTTTGAAGGCCTTAGCGTGCACCCAGATGTATGAAAATCTATAGGGATGTGTACTGTATCTCGATCTACAAAAAACCTCTTGGAAGCATTACCTAAACCCAACTGGAAATCAACCATTTTGAATTTAGGATGCAATTTTGGTGAATTTTTAAAATTTTTTCTCCCCCCATTTCCAGGTGCTGTACTTTAACAAACTCCTCCTAGAGTTTTAACCATAACTCTAGCAATGCTAAATTGCAAAGTGTGATGATTTTTCTGTCTCTGCAAGGAAACGTTTCTTAGATTTTAGTTAAAAAATACATTTTAGTTGAAAATTTAATATACAAAAACAAAATGTATGGTAATAAAAGGCAGTGTAAATTAAAAATGACAGTTTAGAGGTTTACTGGTTTGTAGCAGTTCTCTTACTTTCTGGGTATCTGGGTTCAAGGTTCATCACTGAAGAGTGGATGATCATCTTCGAACAGGTCACTCTTCACAGACAGACGGCTGGACCCTGGAGACTCCGCTCTGTCCTCCTCTTCTTCCATACACCCACTCATCTGCTAAACTTCAGTCAGTCTGATGACTGTGAGCTCACAAACATAAGAATTGGGATAAACAAGTCTGTTCACCCAAAAGTACCAAGGAAACCCCACACGCACACACAGCACAAGGTCGCGTCACACTGTTAATTCTGACGGAGAGCAGAAGTACTACACATAACTTTACTCAGAAAACTGACTCTAAGAGACAGTAAGGTCATAATAATTTATCATTATGTATTAAGTTTCCCTCCTTCTGCTCTGTCCAGTTAAAATGGAGTCTGACCGCACTGACTCAACACCTTCACTGTTCCTTCCCTGTTCTCATGTACTACAGATACATTTAACTTGCCTTATTTTGTTTATTTTTCTTAACTGTTTTACAGTCCTTACAGTATCTTGCTTGGGTCACTAAAACTGTTAAATAAATGTAGTGCAGTAAAAAGTACAATATTCCCCCCTGAAATGTAGTGGAGTGGAAGTATAAAGTAGCAATAAATGGAAATACAAGTACCTGAAAACTGTACTCAAGCACGGTACTTAATTAGCCTTCAGCACATATGGATTTTAATATTGTTCGTATTGTTTAATTGGTAATGAAATGCCAAGCCAACATTGGAAACGAAAAGGCTAAATAAATTAGCCAGCTGATTAAGCTAGCTATTCAATTAGCTAACTAATATAGCTATTAGTTTGCTAACTACACGCAAAAGTGAGAAACTAGCTAACATTATTGTTCGTGAATACTTGACAAAGTCAAATTCAAAAATTCTGAAGGTAAGAAACAAAGTGTATATAACAAACTAAATAGTACATTTACATTTACCTGCTCTGACTAGAGACCTGACGACGCGCGAGCCTATGATGAAGTGACGCAGGCCGATGGGACGTCAAACTGCAAAGTTAAGAAATGGTACGGTCCACTTCCGGGTCGTCGTCATTTCCCTCCATTAGTCGAACCCAGACCGAATCACTATTTAATCTGCAGTTGGGCCAATTTCCTCTGTTCCTGTGACCTACTGTCATCAGTTGTTACATTAATTTAGTTTCCTTCCTTTTTTTGTCACACATTAATTGTGTTCTTACCTCAAACATCCTATTTCATGTCGCTCTGAATAGGATACTAGTCAACATGACATGAGGTATCTCTGCTCACACATTTAAAGCGCTGGGTACTTTTAGCACAAGAGCATGTTGAAATTTTAAATGTTTTAAATTCGGACAACTTGTCAAATATCAAACAGTTTTTTTTATGTATACTGCACTCCATTTTCTTCATACATTCATGTGTATTTTAATGACTAAAACTGAAGATAAAGACATTGGTTCTGGACCTTGACATATTTATTCATTGCACTGTAATACAAATATTGACTCGTTGGTCAAACATTTGGTGTTGTAATTTTACAATATTCATACACGATGTTCCTTTTTGCATGTAATAAAAATGCAATGCTTTATTGAAAGTAATTTTATAATAGGCTACAAGCCAAACCAATTATTTGAAGGTAATAGATTGGACCTCTCCTTCTTTTTACAGTTTTCCTCCTGTTGTACATTTCTTCTTTCTTCATAGTTATTTTGTTGTGCAAGGCTGTTGTCTGTTGAAAAGAGGAAATCAAAAAATTAATCACAAAACTTTGTGTTGTGTCATTTTAGCCTTCCACAAAACTACTGGCAAGCAGGTACATGGACAAGTACCTTAGCAGACACACATCACTGTAAATACATAGGCAGTACCCAGGAGTGAGTAAGCAGTTCTATCCAATCCAATACACTTGGATTGGATAGAACATGGTCCAGTAACTGACTGTTCTGTGTGTGCTGAAAACGTCAGGTGTTCCAACACAGCCCAGTCTCTGTAGATTGGAATAAACAAAGTGACTCATACCAAGACACATGACGATACTCCAGCCAATCAGTAGCATTGTACCCTTTTGCTGCCACCAGACCATGTGACGTTATGAATTGGATTGAATGGGACTGCAGATGAGACCAATATATTTGGATTTATTTGGTCAGATGCATAATTTGAAATGCTATGCCAGAAAACTTTAGTCTGTGTTAGCTTAGCTGCAAACCTACAGTCCTCTCTTCTGTCACAACTCTCCAGTTTTTTCCCCCCGTTCTCTGGATGCTGTGTTTGTGTGCTCGTCATTTGCTTGCTGTTTTGTATTACAAGGTTTGTTTTGCTTCAGCTATGATAAAGAGTATCCACTTACACCACTGTGTCGTTGGTAATGAGCATCCATGAATTTGGGGGGCGAACCTTATGAAGGGAGGGGTGTATTTGTTAGCTGCTGAGTACAAATATCAACAGTCTTTCTCCAGTACTGGTTACTGGACCTTTAAGGGAACTTCAGATTCTGCTATGAGCCATTATAGAACCCAGAAGATGTTCATGCAAAAAAGAATTGAAAACTGTGCAAACATAAAGACAAATGTCTTCACACGATGCAGTTGGGGACATTTGAAGAAATACTGCCACAACGTTTCATCACCTTTAACTGTGTAACACTGTGTACACACTGTTTTTTCACTTGTTGCCTGTTTCCCATGAATAATGTTGTTTGCTGAATAATGTTGTTCAAAATGATGAAATATGGTATGAATGGAATATTCTGTTTAAAATGTGTTGCAATCAAGAGTAGCTGCCTTCCCTGTGTTCTTCATGCCAGAGTTCCTGTTTGTGCACAAACAAGTATTTTAAAAGAGAAAAAAACAGTTATTAGATATTTCAGAAAATGAGGAAACAAAAAGTAGGAATTCACCACTTCTGCCCTTTATGTTACTATATACTGTACATGTCTGCACATTCTGTCATTTATCTAATGAAAGGGATAATGAACAAAATGTGAAGTGGCGAAAGACATTTCCTCACATCAGTCCAGTGATGCAAAACAGCAGTGACACAGGGAGCAGTGAGACAGTGACTGTGCACAAGTCAGCAAAAACACTATATACTTTTACTTTTACACTATATTATTCACACTATATTATCTTAATATGCGATTATTTATTATATTATTATCAATATTAATATTATTATATATTAATTACTATTACTGTGGTTTCTGTAATGTATAAAGATGACTGAATATAGGGTTTAGCTTTGCAGTGAGTCATGTGACTAAAACTATTTAGTTTATGACCAGCAAAAATGGACCTGCTCTGTAGTGTTGTATCACAGGAAGTTGAGATATTTTCCAGTTCAAGCAACTAAACAGGGAAGTTGAGTAGTTCATTGCACATCAGCTCAAATTCATTGACTGAACCATTTCCACTTCACATCCAGAGATCTCATCGCTGCTTCTTCTTTGATGTGGGCTTGTTTGGTGAGAAACATTTTCATGGATTTTACTTTCTGGCTTGTTAACATAGAGAGTTTTATTATGTTTTTACTTTTCATGAACTGCACTGAAAAATACAGGATATGATGTTTTATCTGCTGGAGTTTGGTTTAGCAGAAAGACACTGATAAAATAAGAGGGTTGTTAACTCTAGCAGCTCGTCTGTGGAATTATTCAGCAGTGACATTAAATCTGATATTTCACATGTTGTTGATAATATACTTACAACACAGTAAAGTGTGGGTGTACAGGAGAAGTTCCGGCAGTGAATGTGTTATTCACATTTGAAGTAGAAATTCAGCTGAAGAACTTGAATGTTTAGTAAAATCCACTGTATTATTGTGTTTGTAAATCCAGGTGAGGAGTTTCATGGCGGCTCTGTCTGTGAATATGGTGACAGCCAACCTGTTACTGAGTGTCTTCTTTCTGTCAGGTGAGCCATTTGTTCACTCTCTTTTATTTGACTTCAAAGCTTTAAACTGAAGTAAATATTCCGATGTTGTCCTGACTGAGATCTTGTTTCTGTGACAATATTGACATAATTATTTGCCGATGTCTGCTGGGTCATTACTGGAGTTGGACTTGGAGTAAGGGTTCCCACTCTTTTGTAGTGATCATTTTTCCAGGACATTTTCAGTGACAGACAGGAATCACGCCATACACCAATATGTTCCCATCTGTGGAAGTCTAATATTAAATAAGTGCAGTTATGCTTGGCTATACTTATCTATGAAATCATCTCTTAAATAATTAATGAATTAATTAAATGCCTAAACAGCAACAACACAAATAGTAACCTACAACTTTCCCTACCGACAAATATAGAATGTACTTTACAGCTAAATGTACGATTCAAAGTTGAATTAGCTCAGATTATTTACTGCAGCTGGGTCTAATCAGTTTATCACACTTAACCCCTTCACTAGTAACAGGAAGTGACGTCTTTATCGAGGTTGATCATACCCAAATTCATATTACGGTCTGTTTCACCTGAACGACACAGCATTGGGTTTGAAGTGATGCTACCAAAGATGCTAGCAGAGTAAAAACAGCTGTTAGCGAGTATTTAGCCGATGTTTGGCTAACATACAGCTGGACTCCCATTCATTGTATTATATCCTGGCTTCTCATTTTTTTTACTATCCAACTCTCAGTGATGAACCAACACACACATTTGAAACCTTTGCTCGGCCACAGTTGACAAACAGTTGACAGTCCACAAACCTTTAACCTTTAGCTAGAGGCTAAATAAGATAGCTAGCAACTGAACCGAACATGCTAACCCATTATTAACAGTTTTAAAAGAAGCTAGGAAGAATACGTTAATCTGTAAACCTCAGTTAGCCACAGTTAGCAGTCAACAGTGACTTTCGTAAATCTAAAGGATAATGTAACTTACATTCTTCAGTTGTAAATCATCCAACCTGCAGCATGTGATGTGACTTCGAGGTGCGTTCATGGTCTATTCAAAATACCGTCGTCCATAAACTAGGCTACTATTTGAACGTCAACATGATCCTGAACATAACTTTGCCCAAAAATAGGAGAATGTTGAAATAATTTTCCAGGATATTTTACTTTTTCTCTCATTTTCTACGTGTTCATTGGTTCACAGGTGCTTTGGCTGCTTGTACTGAGAAGTCAGACCTCTTCATTACCGCACCACAGAACATGGAAGCACTGACTGGATCTTGTTTGCAAATCCCATGTAACTTCAGTGCTGGACCTGAAAAGCTGTCAGACTATGAAATAGAAATCACCGGAGTTTGGATTAAAAATTATCAATTTTTTCAAGGAAGACCAGAAAATGTGATTTTCAACAGTAGCAAGACAGTTAATGAATATCCAATGAACATTACTGGAAACCTGAATCAGAGAAACTGCACCACTCTGTTTTCTAGTTTAATCACTAAGTACACAGACACATACTACTTCAGAATTGAGACCACGCCATTCAGAGCAACAGCTGTTTGTCATCCTCTTCATATAACAGTTAAAGGTAAGAAAGTTTCATTTTAAGTTTAAAGTTTAAAGTTTTGAATGAAACGTCTCGACAGCTATTGGATGAAATGTGGTTCAGACGTTCATGTTCCCCTCAGGATGAACTGGAAGAACTTTACTGAGCTCTTTACTTTGAATCTAGCGCCACCATCAGGTGTTCACTGCTAATTAGCAAATGTTAGCAGGCTAACACCCTAAACATTACACCTGCTAAACCTCAGTTGTCATTGCTGCATGTTAGCACGCTGACGTTAGCATTCAGCTCAAAGTGCAGCTTCACAGAGCAGTCGACTCTTTTTTCACTGGAAAATGTGTTTGACTTCACACCACAGATTCTCCTACGAGCCCCAGGATTGAGATCTCAGGTGAGCTGAAGGAGGCGGAGTCTGTGACTATAACCTGCTCAGCTTTAACTCCCTGTCCACACTCCCCTCCTAAACTCACCTGGAACCTCCAACAAGACCCTCACAACAAAATAGAGGAAAACACAGATGGAACCTTTACAACTAAAATCCAGGAGACCATCACTCTGTCAGACAAACGTGATGGATACAACATCAACTGTTCTGCCAGGTATCCTGTGGATGAAGGACAACATGTGAAGACAGCAGAGGGGAAAAGGACTCTCAATGTTTCATGTAAGACCAGAGTTTGTAGTTGGATCCTGTCAGACCATGAAGACTCATCAGATGTCAGTTATTTTCCTCTCAAGGATTTCATGTAGGGCCTGATGCTCCTCTTCTCTCTAACATCTTTGTTCCTTTCTCCCCAGATGCCCCCAAGGACACCTCAGCGTCCATCAGTCCCTCAGGTTTGGTGTCAGCAGGTAGCTGGGTGAACCTGACCTGCTCCAGCAGAGCCAACCCTCCTGTCAGCCGCTTCACCTGGTTCAAGAAGAGCACAGGTGGAGACATGAGCGTATCTGAAGGAGCCTTTTACACTTTCAATGTCACAGATAAGGGAGTTTATTACTGTGTGGCCACCAATGATGTCGGAAATCAGACGTCACTTGAGATCCATCTGTCTGTTGAAGGTAGGTGAGTCAGTACAGTTACTTCACTGAATCCACTCATCCTCATGTGGCTTCTGTCACCTAGCAACCTTGACAACACATGACTTCTTTCACAAAACCATAGCTGTGTCTCAATTAAGGGCCTTTGAAGACCAAATAGGACATAGTGGCACGACAGGGCTGTCCCAGTTAGAAGGCTCCTTCAAATGCATCCTTCTTTTCCTGGGCAACAAAGGATCCAACTGTTGGATCCCAAGATTAATTGTGCGCCGATAATAAAATCCAACAATGATGACAGAGAACCTGAGATTACACTTTTAAATGTAAGTGTTGGGTTGCAGTTCAGGTACAACTGTTAAAACCAAGAGACTTAAAGCCTAAAGTTTTTGTGAAAAAAGATTCACGTGTTGTCTAGGTTGCTAGGTGATAGGAACCGCGCTTTGCAACACAACAGTAAGGGCGGGAAAAGCTGGTGACACATGGCGAACATCCTCCGTATACCAGACCGTCTCATTTCAGTTTAGCCTTAGTGGTGTACGGCAGGTATGAAGGGCCAAACCTTCGTAGACCACATCCTCTGAAGGATGCGGCCCCTGAATTAGGACACAGGTCTTGAGGTTTTTATTATTTATCTATAATTTTTTTATTAATGACACGCAATGAATCTTGGGATAGGTTGGGTGACGAAGGATCCAACGAGTGGATCCTTTGTCACCCAGGAAAAAAAGGAGACTTTTGAAGAAGCCTTTGAAATGGGAGAGTCTAGTTGTCTTCCAATGCATTGGGAGCACTTTGCGTGTGAAATGGTGCCTTAACTAAGCTGAACTTCAGTAATGGTCACATCAGTAGTATTACGCATTATACACACTATATCATGTATTCTTTTATTCTTCTGGTATTTTATAGTGGTCTTGTTTTTCTATCAGGAGAGTCTCTACCATGGGGACTGATTCTTGGAGGAATCGTTGGGATCATCGTTCTCATCTGTTTGATCGTCTGTTTTTGGCGAGTATCACAAATCAAAGCAAAGCTGCACATCCAATAATATCTGCTCATCAGTCCTGACACTTTACTGGCACTTTGTATATTTGACCTAAAACTCAGTGTGATTCATCTAACAGCCTCTTGTGTCTTCCAGCTGGTTGAAGTCAAAACGTCCAACTGCACGACAGACTCAGGTGGGAAAACACTACACGTCCCTGTGCAGTGATGCATTGTGTGTTTTGAATGTTGCAGGACTGATGATGTAATAAGAAGGATCCAGCTGACGGTTCACCTCACCACATTTCCTGTTTGACTGTCTATAGAGTCGAACGGGTGAAGAGCTGGCTGTGGCCGAGTCAACCAGGAAGACAGAAGAAGAAGACGACATCCATTATGGAGAGATCATCTTCTCCAAGCGGAGACCTGAACCGTCCTCGGCCTCCCTGCAGGACAGTGGACAGCAGCAGGACATGGTGTACGCACAGGTCAAAGTGTCCAAGAAAGCAGACAGGTCCACAGAGACAGCTGACGGCCTCGAGGATCTCTACGCTCAAGTGAAGAAGAAATGAGCAGTTTGTTCTGTGTAAAGACAAAGGTCACATCTGAGGAGGATTCATGTTAAATGAGCCTTTGTTTTTTTATATACAGCGTCTTTTGAGTCTAGACATGTAAATGTAATTTTGTCCACTTCCTTTTTTTATTTCAGTTATCAGCTTTTACCATGTAGCTCTGAACAGGGCGCCAGAAGTATCTCTGCTCACATATTTACAGTGCTGGGTATTTTTAGTACAAGACCATGTTTGAATTTGAAATGTTTTTATTAGAATTGTCAATGTAAATTGAAGATAAAAGACATCGGTTCTGGATCTGAACATAACAAAAACGAGCACCATTTGGTTTGTATAAAGACAAATGTTACATCAGAATAAAATTCATATTAAATGTGCCTTTGTTTTTATCTATACATGATGTTTTAAATATCTGTAATATACATTTATATAAAAATCAATTCAATTCTTCATCTTAATCCGAGCACTCTGGAAAGGAATGGATCCAGCTCACAGAGAGCAGTGATCAGAACTAAGCTGGCTTCACTTCCCTTTTTTCGCACTACGTCGATGACGTTTCGTGCTGTTTCTGCTCTCTCGTGTTTTCTCATTGACTCCGCTTCAAGATCAGTTACGACACCACCATCAAGAAGTTTATTCAGAAGCTGGTCTAGAAGAGAATTAGACACTCTGTTAATAAACTCTGTCCGAGCCAGGAGCAGCCTGGCCTCTGCCAGGTCCCTGGCCTCTGCCGGGTCCCTGTGCTCTGCTGCGAGTCTCATTTCCATTCTTGGACCTAAAAGAAAACAAGGGAAAAGACTTTCAATTAATAACCAACGATCAGTTTTAAACAGATCTAATTTCAAAAGTCCAAAATAAATGAAATGTCATGTTATCTGCTCTGTAAATCACTTGTCAGCACTCTGACAGTCTGCCAGCTGCTGTCAGTCGAGCACAGACACTTTGACATTTTCTGTCAAATGTACCAGAAATTTATTTAATACGAAGAGAAATCCAACATTCAAGTATCCTGCAAACTCTGCGTAGTCCAATAGAGGTGGCAGCAGCCGTGACGCACACGCCACGCATCCCGTGTGTTCCCAGCGTAAGTCTTATTTCTCCCTGGTCTGATGATGATTAAATGACTGAGTTCCCATTTATAAAAATCCCCAGACTGTTCATTACTTTCTTAATTACAACCCTCAAAGTTCCTCATCAGTCCCAGGATGCTGTGTGACAAATGGGAACACAGAAGCTGAAAATCCATCAAAGGTTTTAGTTCAATCATATCAAAGTGATATGAGATGGAGCCGATGTGAAGGTCCCTGAATATGCATTAGAGCTTTATATATATATATGTATATATATGTGTATATATATATATATATGACATGTACATAATGACATATGCACATTGTATTCTATTCTATCAGTGGGGTCTAAACTCTGACATCAGGTGGATGCTGCTGCAGGAGGCTGAAGCCTTTACCTGGCAGAGGAACACTGCGTTTCCAGACATCTGTCTTGACTTGGTCTTGGACCTTCAAAGTCACTGTCTCCGGGTTTGTAGTCAGGAAAACCTCAAACGTTGCAAAGAAATTTGGCCCATACTTGGAGCGAAACTCTGCATGCTGAAAACCAAGGGAAACACGTTATTTTAAACCTGCTGTTAGTTCTGTTTATCTAGTTCCTCTTAACAATGAATCTGTTTTCAACATTCCTCCATTAATAACCATTAGAAATGCATGAGACTTGACTCACCTCAGGCTGTATGTGCAAGTCCTCAGGTTCACAGTGGAGACGGTAATTCTCACCAGTGATCAGTTTACAGTCAGAGGAGATCTTGATGTATTCAGCAGCTCCTTGTTGGGCGGCAACCTTCAGCAACAGGACATTTTTATTATGGTTTTAGAGCGTAAAAGACTTCAGATAATAGTGTTAGATATACGTCTATCCATCCAGAATGACACTGGCAGACAGAAATAAATACTGACAGAGAACCCAGAAGAAAACCTAAAATCCAAAGAGCAATCTGAAGGTTTACAGTTCAGATGTTCAGTTTCAGAGATTCCAAGTTTGAGAAGGTTTGATAGAAGGTTCTACTACTTTTATCTATACCACTTATTGATCCGGTACTTTTAGTGATATTGTAAAAGAAAAAAACTAATTAAGAAAATAGTTAACATTGCTTATTTTCTCATATGTACTCGATTAACATGAACCCCCATTAACAAAGGCTCTGAGAGAGGGAGGGAGAGAGGGGGAGAGAGAGAGAGAGAGAGAGGGAGGGAGAGAGGGAGAGAGGGAGGTTTCTTCTCTCTATCATTTATAGACGAATGTCTTAATCAGAAACAGAGTTGGAGAGATAAAATGTGCGAGAGGAAATTTATGTCGCAATAATAAACAGGAAGTGTACTTTCTTAATTTCTCCAGTGCTGAGAGCAGAACCGATAACGTTGGAGCTTATCTTATCTGTTCTTGAAAAGTTTACTGTGTACTTGGTTTCGGTTCCCATCCCTATTGTTAAGCACGTATGACACATGGCTTTACCTCTGTCAGAGGGATGTTGCTTGGCAGGAGAAAAACATCGAGTACTCGAAGCCCTCTGTCCAGAGATCGGAGGAACAGCAGAACTTCGCCAGTAACTGGTTTCTTGCCGTTCCAGAACCTCCCTAAAAACTCCAGATCCAAGGTGAGGCCAAAGGGAGACAGATGAGGGACTTTGACGATCACGTGAGTGTCTGTGATCTCCAGCGGTTCGAGGACGCTCATTCCATCATCAGTGATGTGGATGACAGACAGCAGTCCTTCAGGCCGCAGATCTGTGACAACAGAGGAGGCCATCTTTTTATTTTATATCCAGGACACTTGGTCTTGTCATTAAAGAACTGAACAGTTGCCCTGGTCAAGCAATTCATCCAACACACCTGTCAGTGTCTTTTACTCACCGTCCTTTGTTTCACAGTGTGGGAGGTGGAGCTCACACACTGCTTCCTCAGGACACTGGATATTGAACAGCGGCCCTGCTGGCGTCTTTCCAGCTGATTGGAGGAGGCTCTCATCCCATTGGACAGTCCTGTAGAGCAGCTCCGCCTCCTGAGCCACAACAAAAACCAGTCCAGTCAAAGTACACTGGAACCCACCTGGACCAGGACACCTGAACCTGTAGGACACAGAGAGCTGAATGAGCACAAGGAACCTGTTGAACCTCGGATGAAAATGTTCTCATCTCAAATCAGACTCCACTTCATGAGCCCTGAGGGACCGGAGGGGAAAGGAGACACACAAATATCTGCAAATACAAAGTCCAAGCCTTGTCTAAAACAGTGATTTTATTATATGATTACCTGTATGAGACTTGTGTAGACTCAGTTTTCAGTTCAGGTGTGAAGCTTGATGGAGGCTGTGATTCACAGAGAAACAACATCAGTTTTATTAGAAATAATCAACTTGTGTTCAGTGAAGCAAACGAATGTTCTCCCACAGTCCAGACTGAGCTGAAGCACAGTCAGACAGGAAGTCAAGTCTGAGAGGACTGATGGTGTCACACAGGTATAAGGTGTCATTGTCATTATTTACAGATGACATCAGGGGGAGTTTGAAGCAGCAGATTCTGCGTCTGTGGAGAAAAACAACTGAGGACTATGACATAAAAGTCAAACTTGAATTCCAGCATCTCAACAGTCACATAACTGAGTTCAACTAAAAACCTCTGAAAGATGTGATGGGCTAGGTTTCAACACACAGCTCGTTTAGTGCCATTATAATTAAACATGCAAAGTCTAATCATGTACATCAGTGCGCAGCGCCCTGGTCGCTGAAAGGCTGCAACACACAGCTCGGGACACATCCTGCCAAGTTAACAAGTTTATTAAAACATACATGTACATATAAAAAAAAAATCTGTTTTATTAACTTCTCATTAATTTTAAACATGTCTCTTCCCCTTCAGGGAAAGTGTCTCAGACTCTTGGACCCTACTGTTTATAATATCAACATATACCGACAGGCTTTGAGATGGATATATATTTATGTAACATATAGTCACAATATAAGCATAGATACATAAACACATATGTGTATGTGCTAGACATACACGTCATTTTTGACTTTAATCAGACTTTAGAAAAGCTCAAAGTGCTGACACAAGACGACAATATCTGACCTGCCAGAAATCCACCTGATCCTCTGAAAGCCAGATCAATGATTGTTCAGGTGACTGATCAGAGTGACAGGTGACAGGTATCTGTCCAGATTCTACAATTAAATAAAATGATCTTCTTTAATCGTCACAACAATCTACACAGTGGATGTGTTAGTTTTTATCCGTTTCTCTTTCTCCCAGCTACAGGACATATTTGTTGACTTCTTTGAATATTTGTTTTCCATCGCCTGCTGTGTGTTGAGCCCTGAAATCAGGAAATGTGGTTGTTCTCTCACCTTCTTCAGCTTTTTGACGTCCTCAGACACGTCCATCTTTGTCTCTGCTGTGTTTGGGTCCGGTTTGACATCAGACTCACCTGATGGGAGGAGAGGACACACAGCAGACGTCAGAGTTCAGTCTTTCCTGTTCCTTGAAGTCAGAGAATGTGATTCCAATAGCGGCAGCTCAAAACCTCCTGCCATCACTTTCCTCTCCTGGTTTTCTATTGGACCTGCAGCAATTCTTTGTCTTAAAATCTGCTCTCTCTGAAAACAACACATACACTCCCTCTAACACACAGGTCGTTGTTCAAAAAGCGACAGATTCAAGGATAAAGAAGAGACTCTGAAGAGAGGGAGAAACTTAACGATTCTACAGAGTGAAGCTGAGACCTGGAGTCAAGAAGCAGGTGATGAGGGACAGACTGCAGATCCCTGTTATGATCAGCTCATTGTTCACTGACCACGTTCTTCAGGAATAGTTGGGTTTGACCTCATGTTCACGTCGTCATGGTGACAGCCTCTTCTTTTGTTCAGTCTGCCCCTGTCCTCGTCTCTGGACACCAATCACTTCCCCCAGGACCATGTACTTCTGAGACACTTTCCAGAACTGCCATTCTCCACCTGTCCACCACATGTCCCCAAACTTTCCCACCAATCCTGCTCACCTGAGTTCAACATCCATCACCCCCACCTGCACAAAAACCAGCTCACCAACCCAGCTAAACTAAAACGGAAGATGCTTTCCACAACAAATAAATGCACTTCACAGCTGGTCTCTAAGTTTATATAGAGCAGAGTCCCTGCTGGACCAGAACCTGAACAAGAAAAGTACTTGTACTGACCTTCTGTTCCTGAGCTGAGTAATTTCTTCACCAGGTCATACTGGGACATGCTTTCTAAAACTTTCACCATCATCTTCACAGTTCCAGAAATTCCATATTTCTCCACCATCAGATCTACGGTTTCCACCCTCTCTGCCTCCAACAGTTCGCTCTCTCTGAAACTGAGCAACGATTCTTTCTCCAGGAACCACTTGAAGCGCTTGAACTCGTCTTCTCTCAGATCGTCCAGGATGTTGATGAGGACTGTCTTCTTCATCTTGGCGTCCTGGTGAAATCAGAGAATATCATTGATCTGGCTTTCAGAGGATCAGAAATAACTTGGATATATTTAAGTACTCTAGGCCCAATCTAAGTTACTACACTGTCTCACATGTGTTCTAGGTGTGGACAGATTTTACAGGTGAGTCCATACCTTGGCAGGAGGAGACGATACGGGAGTCTTTGATGGACCAGGACCTGAACAAGAAAAGTAGTTGTAATCAATGACGAGGTGACACTTTAAACAGAGCTCGTAGACATTACATTATTACATAAACATTATTTTCATTATCAATTAATCTGTTGATTTATTGGTGTTTGTCTGGATGCAGGACAGACTGAAACGAACTAACTGAGATGATGTGATTTAAATGTATTTCCTATGACTGACCTTCTGTTCCTGAGCTGAGTAATTTCTTCATCAGGTCATACTTGGACATGTTTTCTAAAACTTTCACCATCATCTTCACAGTTCCAGAAATTCCATATTTCTCCACCATCAGATCTACGGTTTCCACCCTCTCTGCCTCCAACAGTTCGCTCTCTCTGAAACTGAGCAACGATTCTTTCTCCAGGAACCACTTGAAGCGCTTGAACTCGTCTTCTCTCAGATCGTCCAGGATGTTGATGAGGACTATCTTCTTCATCTTGGCGTCCTGGTGAAATCAGAGAATCTGGTCAGTGTGAAGGACAGTTAGAAACCAGTGGTGGTGATGTCTCTGCTCGGCCTGTCTGCGGCTGTCTCTACTGCTGAGTATTACACGGTAGTTTTACACTTATTATCAACTATGAGCTGGTGTTGTGATATTTTTAGGATTCAGTAGACATAGTGTTGGCAGGACCACACACAAAGCTGGAACACTGGGAGTCCATACCTGAATCCGTTTGGGAATCCCTGCTGGACCAGGACCTGAAAGATGAACAAGTACTTGTGTTCAATAACCATGTACACATTTAACTAATAATAGATATCAAATAAATGTAGAGCTTTAAACACTACAACATTACCCTCTGAAACGTATTGAAGTATAAAGTGGGGTGAAAAATACTCAAGGATAAATGAAGTTTGTACTGAGGTAAGTCAGTCAGTCATTTACCCCTGATGAGATCTCAATGTGAGCCTGACCACCTCCAGATGTGCTCTGGCCGATCTCATCATGTGTTAATCAAAACATGTTCCGCTGCTTTTATACCTGCATTAACCTGTTTGGCATGTAGAGTCAAACTGTATGTTGCTGCACTGTTGAAGCGTGACAGACTGAAGATTAGGGATGGGAATTGATAAGATTTTATTGACACCAATTATGGATTCTGCTCATTAGTCAAATTCTTAGTTGATTTCTTTACAGGTCTGGGTATCATCCTTAATTCATTTCTAATTAAAAAACAAACAAAACAAAAGTAAATCTGTTGTTTGTTTCAAAACCAAATCGGAAAAACAGTTTTTGGTGTTTTTGGAAACGAAAAACCAATAGGCGTATTGGCAGATATGGTTAAAGCCTCAGGAGAACATTGGTCAGACTCAGCTGTCTGGAACTTTTCCTAAAAGATCTTTCATTGTGTAGCCTCTGTATTTATTATTTATTCATTCATTCATTCTTATATCTGTCTTCTAACATTACCCTGGTGTAGATCCTGTGCTAAATGTTAAACTTTTATGACCTCTTGGCTTTTATTTTGACATTTGTACACCTCTTCCTGTCTGTCCATCATTCTGTTTTTGCCAAACGAGAAATGAAAACAACAAATGAAAACAGCAAATAAAATAATGACAAAAGGAATGGCCAAAAACCGGAAACAGACCAATCTGATTGGTTTTTCATTTTTTGATTCCGATACCAACTAGAACCAGCTCCTCGTGGTTGTATCCCTCCGCCACTCAGACTAGTCCCAGGTTACATCCCTGTTTATCCAGAGTCATACAAAATATTAACCATTAGTGTGAAATTTTGTGATAATTGCTGTGTGAAGTCTTGACTAATGTGTTTTATGAGGTCCTCGTGACCTTGACGTTTGACCACAAAAATCTAATCATCCTCCAGTGCAAGTGAATGTTTGTGCCAACTGGTTCTCGATTCCCATCCCTAATGAAAATGATCTAAGGCAGAACAAGAACAAATGCACCACGGATCAATCAAACCAATAGCTATTACTCTATTCTGTTTTGTTCTTTTCTATTCTACTATCTGGTGGAGTCATGGTGCAGGTGGATGAAGACTTTACCAGTCAGTTCAACACGACGCTTCCAGACATCTGCATTTCTTGGGTCTTGGAGCGTTATCGTCACCTCTTCTATGTTTGCAGGCAGGAAGATCTCAAAAGTTGGATGGTAATTTGGTCCATAATCCAAGTTGCACTCTGCTATCTGAGAACCAGTAACACCAGTGTCAGTATCTCAACAGTATCCAAAATAAACTAAATCATGTTTTTTGTGTCAGTATGATTCATTTGAAATACTCACATGAGGCACAATTTTATTCGCCTCCGGACAGTGAACACTGTAACTTTGACGATTGATGAGTCTGCATTCAGAAGACGTCTCTATGTACACAGAATCTCCCTGTTGTGCCTTCACCTTAAGAACAATTAGAACATTTAATTAGAGGGTTCATCCCCAGTAGAGCTCGACTGATGAATCAGCAGACCAGTTTTATGTCATCACAGATTTCCTCTTTCATATGTACTCCTGCCCTCCTGCTGTCGCCGGCACAGAGTCATAAAAAAGGGAAATCCCATCAACTAGATATTGATGAGTTTAGACTGAAAGTGAAGCTGTAACATTTCATTATTCTTTACCTCTTCCAGAGGGACGTTGTTTGGCAGGAGAAACACATTCAGTATTTGGCTCTGTGTTTTTGGGTTTGGTGGTTTGAGGAACAACAAAACTTGGCCACGAACTTGCATCAAGTTGTTCAACCACCTCCATAAAAACGCCATCTCCTACACAAGGCAAAGGCTGTGAAAACACAAACACATTCAACATCTGTTTTACTGTCAACAGCCTCATTACAATGATAGTGATCATTTTATTCTATATCTAGGACTCTTAGTCCACTCCTCATATCTACCACTGTGTGTCACTATAGCAAACACTGTGAAATAAGGCTCAGAGTCATGAATCTTTTGGCTGCCAAGTTTCTCCATCACTAATATTTGAAGGAAATGTTCGGTAAAGCACAAAGTGTAAACACAACACATCGAAATCTTACTAAAAATGATCAGCTGTTGGCAGTTTCTATACTCTGTGCTTATGAGCAGTATTAATGATATAACTGAGTGGCTGGAAATCCTTACAAACCGCAAATAGATAAATTATCAAACTGTTAAAATCCACACAACAGTTACAAAGAGCAAAGACGCAACTCAGACAGCAAAGCTGCAGGTGTGTATGTAGACTTGTGCCACAGTTATAAACAAACGCCCACTTTTCCTGGATCTCTGAGCAGCCTGTCTCCACTGCACTTCCTGCGTCTGTTTTCGGTCTGTCCGCCTCTCCACGCGCTCACAGCTCGGTCTGTTTAACATGAAACGTGGTGGAGGTAACGTGGAAACAACTCACCAGCTTCTTCTGACCGGACAAATCTTCACTTCTCCGACGTCTCGATCCACACCCGATCCACACTTCCCTCTTGTTCCTGCAGAGCTTTGCCGAGTTTTACCCGCCCCTCGCGGGAGCGCGCACACGTGAAGCGAAAAATATGCGTGGCACAATTCCATTGCCCCCTCTAAACTGAATTGACGTCACCTGTTAAGTAATCGAGCGCGAGAAGATGCAAGGGCTCAAAATGGTAGAGGAACGTGACAGCTCTTTATGTATCACGTTACCTTGACGAATTGTGGGTCTGGGAGTTTTGTCTTTACGTTCTTTATTTCCTCCCTTCGCTCCCAGTTTGTGAACAAAAAAACAATAATGTTGTTTAAGATCTGATAAAAGCAGCTTTTGAATTTATCATCATCATGTCATCATAAGAAAGACAACTGCACAGTTCTGGCGCCACGTGCGTATGTTTACTCACAGGTAAACTTCTTGTTTTGTAAGGTTTCATTCCTTTCATGCTTGTTAACCAACCGTACTTCCTCTATTCTTTTCTTCCGTTTCATGGCGGTTTTTTTTTTATTTTTATTTATTTTTATTTTTTTTTTACCGTTTTTTTACGCTTCCGGTCGTCCCTGGTAACCATAGCAAACCCTGTTTAACGTCACAACGCTATGAACTTTGGGTAATTCGTTCATATCTGCTGAAATGCGGATTTATAATGCATCAGATAACTGCATATTTCAGGGAAATATTTCAGCTGTGGATACAAATGATGAACTTGGCACAAATCCTCCTTGGGTATTACATTTTTGATAAAACACGTTAGCTCCTCCAAAACCAGGATAGCCGCCATATCTGGTTTATACCCCCTGTGAAATCATTTTAAGTGCACAAACCAGCAGAACAATGTGAGGCATATGAGAAATAAACCTCATTTCCCCACTCAGACTTCCAAAAATGCACATCATCACAGACAGTCATGTGTCTCCTGAAAAAAAGCAGAAATAAGTTTTACATTTTTTTTCAAATAAAAATAAGGCCTTGTACTTCAAATTATCTCTTAAAGCCCAGGGATTGAGAGAAATCATACACAATAAAGTAGTATCAGAAACAACAGCTAGCCTCTGAAAACTACATGGTTGAATGATGCGAGAACAGCATCACATTAAAGCACAGAATGTGTACATAGCCATTGAAACTGTTGTAAAAAACAGCATAAACATCAGGGGAAACTTGAGGTGTTCAGGTTCACCTGCTAGTCTCTATTTGTAGCTTTTTAACTGTGTGGTGGATTTTCTCTTTCCCTGAATTAAACTTTAATCTAACCAAATTTCTAACAGCACTCACTAAATGCAGAACAGTGAGGTACAACACCCTCACTGAGTGACTCTTCTCAATGCAGTAGAGTTCATGGACAAAGTTGCAGAGACTGAGTGAAGTTCCATTCATGTAGATTTATTTGTGCCAACACAGAATACAAGCAAACTGAGTTGCCTCGAGCACTCACACACAAGTGTGTACCAGATACTTTATGTCCCAGTTCTTATGTGGTGGCAGATTCTATCAGGACAATCCCACAGATGGAGAGGTACAGACTTGTGTCTGGAGAACATAAGGGGCTAGAACAGTGACAGTAACATTTTGACATTGAAAATAAAATTTGGCATTGAAAACAAAACCTGAGCTGAAAGAGGAAACGGCATTGAAAAAGTTGTATTGGAAAAGGTTTTATTGGCACTGTCACTATTTTTTCAGTTTCAACTTTCTGTCACCGCTTTGGCGTAGAGGTGGGGGTGGGTCGTTAAGGGGAGGAGCAAGGAGCACTTGGTTTATTTTCACTCAGAACCCTGACAGAACTGCATTCCTAGGCAGTGGCTTAATCAAGTTTACCTGCAACTCCTGAACTGCAGGTAAGACTGCTTCTCTCGGCTGCTGTTTCCTTCACATAGGACCAGACTGGAATGGGTTATGGCTGTTTTTAATTCCAAATATTATTTTTCCCATAAGAACAATCCAATACAACACAGATTTCCTAGAAGGATTATATTCTAAACCAATAATCATGTCAGTTTTTCCTCCCTTACATGACTACCAACACTCATAACATGCTGATGAGGCATGAACTCAGATGGTAATAGTTACATGACATAAGTTTGCATAATTGTTAGTGTGCCTGCTGTTACAAAACAGTCTGCATGGGGATATAATGCTACAGTCAGTCCGGCACAGTCTTGGAGCCCAGTTTTGGCCTTTGATTTTCCTTAGTTTCTTTGTACTATTTCACTTGTGCTTGCCAATTCCTACCAGGAGTTGATAAGCTTGGGGGGCATACAATTCCAATGGCTTGGACAATTTGGAACTGGTTCTCGATTCCCATCCATAATGAAGATAATCTAAGGCAGAACAAGAACAAGTGCACCACGGATCAATCAATAACTATTACTATATTCTGTTATTTTCTGTTCTACTTTCTGGTGGAGTCATGGTGCAGGTGCATGAAGGCTTAACCAGTCAGCTTAACACGACGGTTCCAGACATCTGCATTTCTTGGGTCTTGGAGCGTTATAGTCACCTCTTCTATGTTTGCAGGCAGGAAGATCTCAAAAGTTGGATGGTAATTTGGTCCATAATCCAAGTTGCACTCTGCTATCTGAGAACCAGTAACACCAGTGTCAGTATCTCAACAGTATCCAAAATAAACTAAATCATGTAAAATGAATTGTGCCAGTATGATTCATTTGAAATACTCACATGAGGCTGGATTTCATAGGCCTCCGGACAGTGAACACTGTAACTTTGCTGATTGATGAGTCTGCATCCAGAAGACGTTTCGATGAACACAGAATGCATTTGTTTTACTTTCACCTTAAGAACAATCAGAACATTTTAATCAGAGGGTTCATCCTCATTCATCCTCAACCATTTATGTGAAATTTTGTCATAATTGCTGTGTGAAGCCTTGAGTAACCTAATGGCTAAAAACTGTTTTGGGAGGTCACACTGACCTCAACCTTTGACCACGAAAATGTAATCAGTACATCGCTGCCAAATGTAAACAGAGTCCCCTGAATAGTTTCCAAGATATTGCATTCACAAGGCCAAAACTGCTTTTTTTTTTTAGGTCACTGTGACCTTGAACTTTGACTTTTAGCCACCAAAATCCAATCAGTTCGTCCTTGAGTCCAAATGAAAATTGGCGCTAGATTTGAAGGGATTCCCTTGAGGAATTCTTGAGATATTGCATTCACAAGGCCAAAATCATGTTTTGTGAGGTCATCTTGACCTTTGACACCCAAAATCTAATCAGTTCATCCTTGAGTGAATGTTTGTACCAAATTTGAAGAAGTTCTGTCAAGGTGTTACTGAGGTATCGTGTCCATGAGAATGGGACGGACAACCCTAAACCAATATGCCTCTGGCTCGGGCTGTCGCCAGCGCAGTCATAAAAAAAAGAAAATCCCATTTTATCAAGTGACTAACTGCTCATTGGATATGTATCACGATATCTGATAGATATTGATGAGTTTGGACTGAACGTGAAGCTGTAACATTTCATTATTCTTTACCTCTTCCAGAGGGACGTTGTTTGGCAGGAGAAACACATTCAGTATTTGGCTCTGTGTTTTTGGGTTTGGTGGTTTGAGGAACAACAAAACTTGGCCACGAACTTGCATCAAGTTGTTCAACCACCTCCATAAAAACGCCATCTCCTACACAAGGCAAAGGCTGTGAAAACACAAACACATTCAACATCTGTTTTACTGTCAACAGCCTCATTACAATGATAGTGATCATTTTATTCTATATCTAGGACTCTTAGTCCACTCCTCATATCTACCACTGTGTGTCACTATAGCAAACACTGTGAAATAAGGCTCAGAGTCATGAATCTTTTGGCTGCCAAGTTTCTCCATCACTAATATTTGAAGGAAATGTTCGGTAAAGCACAAAGTGTAAACACAACACATCGAAATCTTATGTCATTATCAGAATATTTAATATAATAAAAATTATTAGAAATGACATGAATGCGGTATTTTAAGTTCTTTAAGCTCAATCTAAGTTACTACACTGTCTCACATATGTTTTAAGTGTGGACAGAGCTTCTATAGGACTGTTACACAGAGCTTAAAATTATAAACTGTGAACTAGGTATATATTGGCAGTTTCTATACTCTGTGCTTATGAGCAGTATTAATGATATAACTGAGTGGCTGGAAATCCTTACAAATCCTTGCAAATAGATAAATTATCAAACTGTTCAAATCCACACAACAGTTACAAAGAGCAAAGACGCAACTCAGACAGCAAAGCTGCAGGTGTGTATGTAGACTTGTGCCACAGTTATAAACAAACGCCCACTTTTCCTGGATCTCTGAGCAGCCTGTCTCCACTGCACTTCCTGCGTCTGTTTTCGGTCTGTCCGCCTCTCCACGCGCTCACAGCTCGGTCTGTTTAACATGAAACGTGGTGGAGGTAACGTGGAAACAACTCACCAGCTTCTTCTGACCGGACAAATCTTCACTTCTCCGACGTCTCGATCCACACCCGATCCACACTTCCCTCTTGTTCCTGCAGAGCTTTGCCGAGTTTTACCCGCCCCTCGCGGGAGCGCGCACACGTGAAGCGAAAAATAAACTGAAATTGTTCTTCTTCTTTGTGCACTTTTTAGTGCAGTTGACATCCTTTGAGTCGGGGGTTTATTCTCAGGCTACAGTTTTGTTGTCCAAACCGGTCGTTTTCAAATACCTTGCAACTGAGCGTACGTCAACGTCGCCGCCATGTTGGACCAGGCGACTTGTCATGATCTTCAGAGGACTGGAGTGGACTACATATACTATTTACTATTGTTAATCTAATATTATTATTGATATTATATAGCCCTGACTGGCAAACCTTGAATGACACGCCGAGATCGGAAAGTGACTGATGGTTTATTTCGCCTGTGTTCCAACGGTTTCCTAACGGCAGATGCTGACGGCCACTGCCAGAAATGTTGAAATGTTAATTTATTGAAACACCTGCTCGTTGTAGTTTTAATCAAATAAACAATCTACAGTGAACCTGACATTTGAAACTCATCATTTAGGCTGTATGTAAAATGATCTCTTCACTTCAATAAAAATAATTTCTCTTTGCAGTTGTAATTCAACTTCAAAATGCAGCTAAATTCAATTAAGGTATGAAAATCATCCAAAAGAGATAACATAAAGTAAAGTTGATGTTTAACAGTGATCCCGATAATTCTGTAGTAACACTGCTGCCTGACTGAAAACGTTCAGTTTAATGTTTTGCTGTTCCCTCCCTGTTTACATGTACCTGTAACACTAAGCTGTATGAATAACATGAAAAAATATGAATAACATAAGCTGTATTCAAAACTAATGACCCTCTCAACGGTGTCCCTAGGTAGAAAAAAAATACAAATCTCCATATGCATAGCATTCTACAAATATGCTCAATAGTGTTTCCTTATTTTCAAATTAGACATCGATTTCTTTGTTGAGTCAGGCAATAACTGTGGTGGAGGACTTCATCTTTTCATTGATCTAGCTGTGCAGGTGTTGTTGTAGTGTCTTTACGGATAGAATCTCTCTCAATGAAATGATCAGTGCGTAATAACTTTTACATTCATATGGAGAAATGTACAGTATAGTTTGAGAACCTAAAATGTCCCATGTTTTGAGTAGCCCTTTAATCTCTCAGGTCTTTTTTTTCTTACTCCTTTTGTTTATTGGCTCCCCAGATGTCGATTCGCCATTAGCCAATCAGAGATGAGTATCCTAAGCAAACGGGTTCTCGGAGGGGGCGGGTCTAAAAAGACCGCGGGACAGACGGACAACGGTAGAAACGGCTGAAAACGGAGCTGTTTAACTGGTTTTAAGTTCAGTACAAACTGTTATATTACTGCTGTTCATCAAGTCACGATCGGGGGTTTTATATTGGGTTGTAACCACGTTAAAACGGGAGAGTGAATCGTGTTTTGGAGCTGTTTTCGGCCCTTAACTTCACTAAACGCCGCTAATGCTAGTCGGCCATCACCCGTGCTAATTTGGAGGAGAAGAGACTGCCTGTGCGTGTACGAGCCATTTTGTTTTTGAGTGAGTATGGATGCTATCAGATAACTGGTCATTTATAGTTAAAATATTGGAAGTTTATCAGTGTTTGTGGATTTCTGTGCTTTAGATGCTACCACACTAGCTGTCGCAGTAGCGGTGCTCTGGACCTGCCGCTGCATGAGCCAGAGAACCCGATTTTAGACACACGCACATGGACAGAACTTTGGTTTGGGCTCCTCCATCACACCACTCACCTTGGACCTTGAAAACAAGTGGCTGCTAACAGCGTTCTGGACTGTCCAACAGCAGTCAATACAGATAATATTTTGAGTTTTTCAAATTAGCTCTAAGAAGTGCTGTAGAGAAATGGGACTATAACTGAGTTATATCAATGGGTATTTTGTTTTATTTTCTTTGTGTTCACCAGGACATTTTTAAAAGTGTGAATCACAGTCTGGTTCAGTGATAAATATTCTTTCTGTTATTTATTTATTGGCTCTTGTAACTGGCAACGTGCTGATCTGAATCTAGTGCAGGTAACACTGACTGTGCATAACTACCTCATACAAACCCATGTCAAATAACCCGAATTATCCCTTTCATAAAGGTGAACACAACAGACAATTGTGTAATGGCTCTCCACTCTGTCACAGAACTTCTCAAATCAGAGCCAGCAGATTTATCATTATACACTATGTGTTCATGATATGTATGAGTGGATGACAATGTTAGCATCCCTAATTAATTTATAAATATAGGAAGGCTGATGTACTCAAGTGGTTTTGAGAAGTCTGTTCCTCTGTTCCTCTCCTGCACACTGTGTTGCTCTGAACTTAAAAATATCACAGCTAATTTCAAGGTCAGGAAATTGTGGCAGTGCCACAAAACAGGACCCATCAAGTTGGAAACAGAGGCTTGAGACTTGACTCAGACTAAGTTGTTTTTTTCTTTCAGATTCTACTAACAAATCTACACAAGAGATCTACAAAGAGTAAGTGTTATTTTGATTTTCTTTAATGCTGTGCTGTTTTTGCTTGGCCACTGTGCCATTAATGTGCCTCGTCTCAGCCACCGTGCCTATCAACCCCCCCCCCCCCCCCCTATCGCTATAGCGTATCTCCCTCATCTTTCTATTTACTCAGCCTGTTGTCTGTTGTGCATTGAAGGAGCCTTGTAATAGCCACTGGATCAGTTTTGGTGCAATAACCTTTTTTCTTTCAGGTAGAGCTACAAAAAGTAAGTGTCATTTTTATTTTCTTTATTACTGCGTTACCTTTGCTGTGCCTAGCCATCTGTCCGTCAAACGTGGCTAACCGTTCGTTCAGCATGGCTGTCGGTCCGTCTAGCATGGCAGTCTGTCCATCTATCTAATCAGCATGGATCCATTTTGGTGCAGTCAATTATTTCAAGTACATCTACAAACAGTAAGTGATATTTTTATTTTCTTTGCCGCTGTGCCTGTCTGTCCATCCATCCAGTATGGTTGCCTGCTTGGCCCTCTCTCCTCGATCTCTCATCTGTCATCGATCCAACATGGCCGTTCATATGTCTGTCTGTTTAATCAGCATGGATCTATTTTGGTGCAATAACTTATTTCAAATACATCTACAAACAGTAAGTGATATTTTAATTTTCTTTACTGCTGTGTTTTCTTTACCACTGTGTTATTTTTGTAGACCAATTGATGTAGACCACGCCTAATTATCCCAGATCAAGATAATTAATCGGGGTGATGCACATAGTAAACCTAATCACATAAGATGAATGTAAAACTCAGTTAATGTGGCTGAGACCAAGACCAGACTTCTTTACCACATCTTCAGTAGTGCACACGTTGGATGCTGCTTTTACTAACATTCTGGAATTTTTACGAAAATATATACACACACATTTAACCACATGCATAAAAAGGTAGACAATAAATAAAGTGCACTTAATAGTAAATATGGAGTGATTTCAATTTTTGTTGGATCACAGTGTAAGCCCTTTTTTCCCAAACTTCAGTGAATCACTATAAGAATCAAAGTACACTTACAGACTTTGTCAACAAATCTTGTCATTTAAAGATTATAATAAGTAATGTGAGACTGTAAAACAGAAATTCCTCCTATCACTTCACAGTTTCTGGCTTTTGCTTCATCTCAATGTGAGCACTCTGGAAAGGCATGGATCCACCTCACAGAGAGCAGCAATCAGAACTGAGCTGGCTTCAGTTCCCTTTCTTCGCACAGTGTCGATCACATCTCGTGCTTTTTCTGCTCTGATTTTTGTTCTGGCTGACTGCATTTCATCATCATTTACAACACCGCGCTCAAGAAGTTTATCCAGAAGCTGGTTTAGAACAGCTTCAGACACTCTGTTAATAAACTTTGTCCGAACCAGGAGCAGTCTGTCCTCTGTTGGGAGGCTGTCTTCTGCTGGGAGGCTGTCCTCTGCAGGGACACTCCTCTGAACATGTTCCCTTCTTGGACCTGAAAAGAAACCAGGCAAAAGAAGTGTAAAGAAGCTTTTAAGTGCAAATTCTACTTTCTGCATCCACACTCACCAAGGCCGACCTAATGTCCACTTAAAGTGTATACTGGATGAAGTGAAGGGGTCAGAGATTTGATTCCAAAAAGCTGCCATATCAGTGAAACCATTCCACATGAGCTGAAGCATCTCTATGACCTAAAAGTCCTCCCACTTTTAAAATTCCTGAGACTTTTCACCAATTTCTTAAATGTAAACCCCCTCAAAGTTCATCCCAGAAGTCCCAGGATGCTGTGTGAATATAGGGAACACAGAAACTTAAAATCCAGAGGCTTTAGTAGAGGTTTTTGTTCAATTAATGGAGCAATAATGTGGTGAAAACATGGCTGCAGATGACATGTCGCCTAAATTAAGAATGATGGATATCGAGACAATGTAAAGGTGCCTGGATATGCATAATATATTTACATATGGAGATTCTATTCTGTCAGAAGGATCTAAACTCTGGCATCAGGTGCAGTGCTGCTTCAGGAGGGTGAAGCTTTTACCTGGTAGAGGAACATTGCGTTTCCAAACTTCTGTCCTCTCTTCGTCTTCGACCGTCAAAGTCACTTTCTTTGGGTTTGTAGTCAGGAAAACCTCAAATGTTGGAAAGAAATTTGGCCCATACTTTGAGCGAAACTCTGCATGCTATAAACCAGGGGACAAAAAGGAGTTGTTGTTTTTGACATTCAACCCAGACTATATTTATATTATATTACTATACTGTAATTTGGACACTGCAGTGACTCAGTATTGGAATGTGACAGATGGGGCTACCTGATTAGCATGCTAACTTCAGTAGAAGGAAAGTAGTGCTAGAAATAGAAACAGAGTGCCTTCAACCACTGGAGACAGCTCTTGGCAAGTAAAGGAATGAAGTTTGACGCTGAACTAGCAACATTTCTTCTGGACTGATAAGTGTAACAGTCGTTAATGCTAATGCTGGCTATATAGCTACAGCAAAACTTACAAAATGGCTCTTTTAATAACCATTAGAAGTGTATGAGACTTTACTCACCTCAGGCTGTATTTCTAACTCCTCGGGTTCACAGTGAATAATGTAACTTTGACCAGTAATCAGTTTACAGTCGGAGGAGATTTTGATGTATTCAGCATCTCCTTGTTGGGCGGCAACCTTCAGCAACAGGACATTTTTGTTATGGTGTTACTGCTTAAAGATTCAAGTCAATATGTTTGAGTACTTTTAAAAACAACAAATGTTGGCCAAAGTTTTAAAGATATCAAAATCTTAAAATCTATTCTTTACTGTGCTCAATAAAATCTATTGAGTATATTTAATTTGGACTAATTTAGTTCACCTTTTACACCACCTGGTGGAAATATCACAAATGACACTGGCAGACAGAAATGAATACTGACAGAGAACCCAGAAGAAAACCTAAAATCCAAAGAGCAATCTGAGGGTTTACAGTTCAGATGTTCAGTTTCAGAGAGTCCCAGCATGAGAAGTTTTGATAGAAGTTTATGTGGTTGCTATGCACATATGACACATATCTTTACCTCTGGCAGAGGGATGTTGCTTGGCAGGAGAAAAACATCGAGAACTTCAAGCCCACTATCCGGTGGTCGGAGGAACAGCAGAACTTCGCCAGTAATTGGTTTTATGTTGTTCCATAACCTCCCAAAAATCTCCAAAGCCCAGACAAGGCCAAAGGCAGAGAGATGAGGAACTTTGACGATCACATGAGTGTCTGTGATCTCAAGTGGTTCGAGGATGCTGATTCCATCATCACTGATGTGAACGACAGACAGCAGGCCTTCAGGTTGCAAATCTGTGAAAACAGGTATTCAATAGCTGCTTTACTGATATCAGCCTCATTGTAAGTTGGAGGTGTTTCCTCATTTGAAATGCTCTGTGGCACTGTTTGCATAGTGGCTATAATTTGTGTCTATAACATATCCCTGATAATCTGAGTCAAATGCAAAATATCTACTTATACCAGTCTTGCCATGTTTTTGGTAAGACTGGTGTATTTTGTATCCAGCTGTGCTATCATTGTGCATTTTGTCTTGTCAAGTCCCAGTAGACCTGTTGCTGCACCTTCACTTGCTGTTGCATTAACATGTTGTTATTGTTTACTGTGCTTGCGTTCTTCTCTCTGCGTTTGATGTCACCCTCAGATGAAAGGCATCTAGTACCTACGTTTTATGGCAACTTGGTACCAGTATAAGAAGTGTCAGTTCTTGTGACATTGCTACAGTAGACTCATGTGATCCATGTGCTTCTAGGTAATTTAATGTCATTGCTCCCCACAGTTCTGTACAGTTAATAATTAATTAACTACGTGGAAATTAAATAAAACTAACAATGTCTGATCATTGCTTTAACAAAGCATAACTATTTTCTTACCATGCTTTGTTACACAGTGTGGGAGATGGAGCTCACAGACAGCATCCTCATGGCACTGGATATTGAACAGCGGACCTGCAGCAGTCTTGCCAGCTGTTTGGAGGAGACTCTCATCCCATTGGATAGTCCTGTAAAGCAGCTCAGCCTCCTGATCCATAACAAACACCAGTCTAGTTAAAGTACACTGGAACCCACCTGGACCAGGACACCTGAACCTGTAGGACACCGAAGACCAAATGACCACAGGGAACATGAGATGAAAAGGTTTTAACTTGGGCAACAAATTGTGCTCATCCTAAATCAGATTCATGAATCACTTCATGAGCCCTGAGAGATCAAAGGAAGAGGGAAGTTAACTGCAGGAAAACAAAACTAGCACATGTACCAAAGCATACCACACAGTAAGTCAGGGCATGTTTGATCTGTACTGTTGCTGCATTTGCTGTTTAAGTGAATACATATAAAGTGAAAATAAAACTTAACCACCAAACACGAGTTGACTTCACTGTGACTTTTATTGAGGGTGAACTATGTGTTTCACCTGTGGCTTCTTCAGGTTTTCTCAGTAGAATTACAAGAGCGTTCACAGGTGTGACAAAAACAAATGACCAATTATAATTGTCTTCATTTTGTCATTTTCAAATTATTTTCACATTTTTTCAAAAGGTAACATTTTTCAAACTCATATTTTTTACTTTTTAAAACTTTGGGATTTCTTTTTATATGATTACCTGTAGGAGACTTGTGCAGATTCAGTTTGCAGTTCAGGTGTGAAGCTTGATGGAGGCTGGGATTCAGAAAGGAACATAAGTTTTACTAGAAATATCCATCTGTGTTCAATAAGGGAAACATATTCTCACACAGTCCAAACTGAACTGAAACACAATGTGTAGATTACAGATAAAATGTAGTCTGAGAGGACTGATAGTGCAACACAAGTATAAGGTGCCATTGTAATTATTTACAATGGATGTGAGAGTGGTTTGAAGCAACCTATTCTATAATCTGTGGATTATGATACATCTCAAAAGGTAACAAAGATATTGAATAACTGACTAAAGAAGTTGAATAATTCATTAAAGTATAGAAGTCATGAAAAAGATAATGGCACGAATCTGTTCAAGAATATCTAAAGAGGTTGATTCTAGCTCCAACTGTGAGAAGGTAGTTGATGCCACAAAATGTAAAAGTGAACAGTAACTAGTAGCTAGAAATGTGTTTGTTGAAGTCATAAACTGGCTCAGCATTATGCAGTGATCCACAAATCAAGTGGATATTTTCCAGGATCAGACTATTTTTTTGTATGAAGTTAATTTTTTGTGCTTTCCCAGGAAAGAGTTTGCTTGCTGAGCTGGTGGTGGAGGGAATAGTAAAAAAGATTTCCATACTAAGAAAGAAAGAAATACTGCAGTAATTTTAAAACAAGCTCACTTCAGTTTAAACCAGTTATTTTGACAACAGCTGTGTTTGACTGGAGAACTGGTCAAACTACAGGAACAGGACCAATATTTGCCAAAAATGCAACCATTCGAAAGCAAGATTGTTGATTGTTAAGTCGTTCAGTTTGATCAAGCATCGTGACCTCAAACTCAACAACAAACAACAACCGATCCAAAGGGAAATATTTATTGACATCTTAAGATATTTGGTTTCTATTGCCTGCTGTGTGTTAAGCCCTGACAGTTGTCCAGAATATCAAGATACAGTGGTCGTTCTCACCTTCATCAGCTTTGTGTCATCCACAGACACATGCAGCTTTGTCTCTGCTGTGTTTGGGTCCAGTTTGGCATCAGACTCACCTGATGGGAGGAGAAGAGACATAGAAGATAATCAGAAATCAGTCTTTACTGTTCCTCTCTCAATCAGATCTGAGTCAGAGAATGGGAACAGAGTCCAACAGCAGCGGCTCAAAGCTTCCTGTCATCACTTAACTCTTGGATGATCCTAGTTTTCCCCTTGGCTGTGTAACAACCTGAGTAAACACGTCCAAGTCAACTTAGTTTATGATATTGATATGCTAGCTGTTTGTAGTTGCTTTTATTCAGTGAAATTTACTCAGGCTCCCCTGACTGCCTCTTTTCTTATTGGCTGACACCTGTTGCTAGAGCACTAGCATTGCCAGACACTACTTCAGTACTCACAGGTTTTGTCTCTGGAAGCTTTAATCACCCTGTTGTTTACCCTGTAGAGAAAAACACAACCACAACAGGGACAAAGTGATTTGAAAATTATCAGGTTTTGTTTGAGTTATCTTATTAAACCCAACAGTGATAATTCCAGATCAGTGGGCTGACTCCAACCCTCTACTGACCTCAGAGTCTCCAGGCTACAGTCTGGACTCTCCAGAAAATCACACAGGAGCTTCACTCCTGAAATCTTCAGCTTGTTTCCACTCAAGTCCAGTTCTCTCAGATGGGAAGGGTTGGACTTAAGAGCTGAGGCCAGAGAAACACAGCTGATCTCTGACAAACTGCAGGACCACAATCTGAGTAAAGAATAAAACAGGTCACACCCACTTATGTGGCAGTTTAGAGTCACCAATTAACCTAACTTGCATGTCTTTGAACTGTGGTAGGAAACCAATCAGATATGTCCTAATCAATGAACTTCTGTGTAAGAGTGACTTTATCCTTGTGTTATTGTGGGTCATCATAATGTCAGCCTTCTATAGACATCATCTAAATGTCAGCACAACATTCATACAATGTTAAGTTCGGGGCTGATTTGACCATATATTGTTGAGTTACAAACCACTTCCTGTTTCCTGGCAAAACATAAAAGTTTGACCAGGGCCTTCACAAATTATGTAAATAAATTGGGTTAAATGGTAAATTAAACATATAAGATGTATAATTGTAGTAATCATTGAACTAACCCCAGAGTCTCAAGTCTGCAATCTGAACTCTCCAGAAAACCACTCAGTAGCTTCACTCCTGAATCCTGCAGCTTGTTTTCACTCAGGTGCAGCTCTCTTAGATGGGAGGGGTTGGACTTCAAAGCTGAGGTCAAAGAAGCACAGCTGATCTCTGACAATCTGCAGTCCATCAATCTGAATAAGAAAATAAATCATGTAGATAAAAATAATTGGTAATCCAATCAGATATGTCCTAATCAATGAGCTTTTCTCTAGAATGAGCAGAGTGACTTTGTCCCTCTGTTACTGTGGCTCATCATAATGTCAGCCTTCAACAGACATCATTCTAATGTCACCACAGATTTCACACAACTATTCATGTAAACAACAAAGTAAAATATTAATCAATCAATATTGATAATCGATATCAACAATCAGTGATATTACCCCAGACTCTCCAGTCTACTGTCTTGATTCTCCAGAAAACCACACAGTTCCTTCACTCCTGAATCCTGCAGCTTGTTGTAGCTCAGATCCAGGTGTCTTAGGTGGGAGGGGTTGGACTTCAGAGCTGAAGCCAGAGAAGAACAGCTGATCTCTGACAAACTACAGGACCACAGTCTGAGTAAAGAATGAAACATGTAACTTTAGTAGACAAAGTTCCTGCTTGAAAACATTCAGTGTTTCATCATCTGTTCAGAACTGAAGACGGTTTAGAAAGTGGAAGTTGAGAAAATGGAAACTCCAAACAACTGAACCAACAGGATGCAAAAAGTGACAAAGAGCTGTTATTAATATTAATGACAACATGCTACTGCTTCAGCAAAGACATAGAGACTTCAACTATTAAAATCTAGCAGCTCCACCAATAGCTCCATCTATACAAACTCATATTGTGCAACCAAACACAAGTAGAAAAAATCCACAGAAATTTATCTCATTTTCTACTCAGTTTCCAAATATACCAAATGTAGAATGAGAGCAAAATTCAGCTGAAGACATCGACAATATTTCCATTTTATGGAATACAGCAACAGTCTTTTGTGAGTACATTCAGTACTATATCAAAAAGAATATGTGGACCAAAGACATTAATCATTTTATGAATGTAGGTTATGTATTTATATATTGGGTTCAATGGTAAATTTAACATATAAGATCTACAATAGTAACAATCAAAACATTAATTACCCCAGAGTCTCCAGTCTACAGTCTGGACTCTCCAGAAAACCACACAGCTCCTTCACTCCTGAGTCCTGCAGCTTGTTTCTACTCAGCTGCAGTTCTTTCAGATGGGAGGGGTTTGACTTCTGTGCTAAGGTCAGAGAAGCACAGCTGATCTCTGACAACCTGCAGGCACCCAATCTGAATAAAGAATAAAACATGTTGAAGCATGTTAAGATGGCAATACTGCAGGCTGTACATGCCGTCAGTCACAGACATTCGTGATTGCATAATCCTGCTGACAAAACAACAAACCGACGTAAGTGAAAATATAACCTCCTCTGCAGATATAAAAAACAAAGCAAATAATCTATAATCCAATCAGATATTTCCTAATCAATGAGCTTTTAAAACTAGAAGAGTGACTTTGTCATTCTTTTTTTGTTGGTCATCATAATGTCACCCTTCTACAGACATCCAAATGTCACCACAATACCTCAGCAAGTAAACACTGGAAAACGCAAAGATACTAAACTTGATATGTGAAACTTAGACTGTTGAAGCCTTGTATTAGTTTAAATTGAACTTAAAATGTGTAATTTTACGCAGAAAAAGAATCTGAATTTTGCCCTAATCTCCTTGAATTTAAATGTTTTTATGTACCATGTTATGTTATATTTTGTTATTGTTATTTTGATCTTATTAATATTATATTTTATTGGTACATTATCAGCTTGTCAGTGGTTTCTAAAGCATTCTGAATAACACTAACCAGTACAAAAGATGCTAGACAAATGAAGTCTGATTGATTGATTGTAAGTTAAAAAGCAAGTCTTTCATACAATTTTTCACCCATTTGGAAAGATGGAATATTTCTTTAAAAAATTACAATTTCTTCAGATTTGCACTTTAAAAATTACAGTCAAGTATTTGAATTAAATGTATACAAAAAACGATAAAAGGTCCAGTCAGTGAACTGACCTCAGAATCTCCAGTCTACAGTTGGGACTCTCCAGTCCAGCACACAGCTGCTTAACTCCTGAATCCTGCAGCTCGTTTCCATTCAGGTTCAGTTCTCTCAGATGGGAGGGGTTAGACTTAAGAGCCGAGGCCACAACTTTACAGTGAGTCTCTGAGAGTCCACAACCAGGAAGTCTGTCATGACACATTACAAATGTCATTATGAACAAACTTTGTATTTACTTGAAGCATTTGATGGCAAAACAGTCTCATCTCTCACTGTCTCTGACATACAACAATAATTCTAATCACTCTCTTATACCTGCAGACATTTTTTAATTTATTTTTTTGGTCATTTTATGCCTTTATTGGATAGCATAGTGGAGATAGACAGGAAATGCAGGGAGAGATGCAGTTGTCTACAAGATCAGAGATTTTCTCTGGAAAATTATACAGATCTTACTTTGAGCACACCAGTAACAACAGCAACTGTCAAGAATTTTGACAAGCAATTGAATAAACAAGTAATCAATGAACAAGTCGAACACTATTTTCTGAATGATTAAGTTTAATGTGTATATTTGAACTTAACTACTAATCTACTCTGATCATGTTCATGATCTTGTCTGGACTCACCGAGCCTTCCTGCAGTTCCTCACAGCTGGAATCAGTCTCTGTAGTCCCTCCACTGATGTGTTGTACTCCTTCAGGTCCAACTCATCCAGAACCTCCTCTGACATCTGCATCATGTAGGCCAGAGCTGAGCAGTGGATCTCAGAGAGTCTCTCCTCTGGTATGTTCTCTGACTTCAGGAACTCTTGGATCTCCTGATGAACTGAGTGATCCTTCATCTCCATCAGACAGTGGAAGATGTTGATGCTTCTGTCAGGAGAGATATCATCAGTGCTCATCTTCTTCAGGTTGGTGATGGCTTTCTGGATGGTTTCTGGACTGTTCTCTGTCTGACCCAGCAGACCTCCTAAGAGTCTCTGGTTGGACTCCAGAGAGAGGCCATGAAGGAAGCGAACAAACAGGTCCAGGTGACCATTTCTGCTTTCAAGTGATTTCTCCATAGCTCCCCTCAGGAAGACATCCAGAAAAGGGTCATGGCTATCATTTGTTCCAAAAATCTTAGAAATCCTACTGAAAAGAGACTCTGGGTTTGAGTTCCAGTGTTTATAGTCTTTTCCCAGGAAGTTCTCCAGGACCTCAGTGTTCCTGTTGGTGTAACAGTGGAACATGTAGACTGCAGCCAGAAACTCCTGAATGCTCAGATGAACAAAGCAGTAGACTGTTTTCTGGAAGATCACACTCTCTCTTCTGAAGATCTCAGTACAAAGTCCTGAGTACACCGAGGCCTCTGTGACATCAAGACCACACTGCTCCAGGTCTTCTTGGTAGAACATGATGTTTCCTTTCTCCAGATGTTCAAACGCCAGCCTCCCCAGCTTCAGAAGAACTTCCCTGTCAGCCTGCGTCAGCTGTTTCTTGTGTTTTTTCTTCTTCTTTTCCTTGTGTCCCTCATGGTACTTGTTCTTCTTCCTCTGTGTCTGAACCAGCAGGAAGTGTGAATACAGGTCAGTCAGGGTCTGGGGCAGCTCTCCTCTCTGGTCTGTGGTCAACATGTGCTCCAGAACTGTAGCAGTGATCCAGCAGAAGACTGGGACTTGACACATGATGTGGAGGCTCCTGGACGTCTTGATGTGTGAGATGATTCTGCTGGACAGCTCTTCATCACTGGATCTCCTCCTGAAGTACTCCTCCTTCTGGGCGTCAGTGAAGCCTCGTACTTCTGTTACCCTGTCCACACATGTAGGAGGGATCTGATTGGCCGCCGCAGGTCTGGAAGTTATCCAGACGAGAGCCGAGGGAAGCAGATTCCCCCTGATGAGGTTTGTCAGCAGCTCGTTGACTGATGACTCCTGTGTGACATCAGACACAACCTCCCTGTTGTTGAAATCCAGTGACAGTCTGCTTTCATCCAGGCCGTCAAAGATGAACAGAACTTTACAGACAGCGAGCTGCTCTGCTGTGACCTTCTGTAATGTTGGATGGAAAACATGGAGCAGCCTGAGAAGACTGTACTGCTGATCTCTGATCAGGTTCAGCTCCCTGAACGAAAGCAGAACCAGCAGACTGACATCTTGGTTCTCCAAGCCCTCTGCCCAGTCCAGAGAGAACTTCTGCACTGAGAAGGTTTTTCCAACGCCAGCGACGCCGTTGGTCAGAACCACTCTGATGGGTCTCTGCTGGTCAGGTGAGACTTTAAAGATGTCTTCTCTCTGTTGCTCAGGTGATGCTTTAAAGATGTCGTGGCACCTGATTGGAGCGTCATGGAGGGTCTCCATCTTGGAAGTTGTCTCCAGCTGCCTCACCTCATGTTGGGTATTAACCTCTTCACTCTGTCCCTCTGTGATGTAGAGCTCAGTGTAGATCCTGTTGAGGAGGGTTCCACTTCCTGTTCCATCAGTTCCTTCAGTCACATGTTCACATCTGCTCCTCAGACTGATCTTATGTTGTTGTAAAACCTCCTGCAGACCACTATCTGCTGAAAGAGAAGAGACAACGTCAGACTGAAGAAAGACAATCTGAGAATCTGATGATTATTTTCATCAGCTACAGAAAAACTAAAGACAAAGAGAGAAAAGATTTTAATGTTGTGGTATTTATAATCATCTTAAAGGTCGATGCTGTGTGATGTAACAAATGACTCTGTATAAAACAACAGGTCCTGGTTTCAGAAATGATGACATCATCATACAGATGTTCAGTCTCACTTTGTTCAGTGCTGGTCTGACTGGCTGTCTGCAGTCCAGGTCTTGTTCTGGGTCTTTGTCCACACTGGGGACAGGAGGAGTCTCCTGAAGAACCAGACTGGTCCCAGTATGAGGTGATGCACTGTCTGCAGAACCAGTGTCCACAGCTGGTAGAGACTGGATCCTTCAGGATGTACTGACACAGAGCACAGCAGGACAGCTGCTCCTCCACAGAGACATCACTCCTAATTCTCCCTCTGTGGACATGAACATATGTCTTTTTAGATTAAAAGCTCTTTCAAATCTTTCATTATTCTAACAAAAATATTTTAACTAAGCCTAACCCTAGATAATTGGATAGCCATTGACTCACTGGCCATTTAGTGAATGTTATGTATGGAGTTGTAATAAGAGAATTACTTGCCATTCAAATAGGGTTATGGTTTTGCCTGTTTTATCATCTTTCAAAAACATAAAAATTAATGGGTGTAGTTGTGTGCTTCATAGAGCTGTTTAGTACATGCACACATAAATCTTAATCTACATATCTTTACAATGAACTGATATACTTTGTTACTGAATCATTGATTTTGAGGAAACAAATACCACACAAGTGAAAACATGTCAAACATATGAGAGCAGCTTCTATATCAGATGAGGAACCTAAACAACAAGTCTGAACAATGTAACTGACAGGCGTGAGTCTGTGATTGATGTCACAGATTTTCAACATTATGCTTTAATGAAAGTTTTTTTATCAAGAAATTCTCACATTAAGGAGACATGGGCACAGACCTAAAACCAAGAGCCACAACATGCACTGCAACAACATCAAGTCAGGATCTTTTTTGTATGTCATTCCTTATCTCTCTCTGTTCTCATTTTGTATAATCTCTCTACTGTCAACTCCCAAAATCACAGACAAAAAATGCTGTGCAAAAATATTAAGTTAAGCAAATGTACAAGTTCTCTTACCTTGTAGTTGAAGGTCCAGATTCCTTACTGAGTGCTGGAGGATGATCTATGGACCGGTCAATGTTCAAAGAAATGGATTGTGAAGACTCTTCTCCGTCCCCCTCTTCTTCTACACAATCACTCATCCTCTGGACTTCATTCAGTGTCGGAGTTAAACCACTAATTCTTACTGTCAGCTCACAAACACAGGAACTACACACAAGACTGAGAGAACAGCAAGTAACACACACATCTGGTCAGTTTTCTCAAGTTAGTTGTAAGTTTAATGTGTATTATTCAGCCCATCACAATGTAGTGTGAAACTGTTGAGTCCGACTGAGAGAACAGGAAGAACCACTCAGACATTATTTTCTCCTTTTGTTTCAGTGTCTTTTTATGGTCAAAAGTTAATTCTGACTCTTCTTCCCTTCACAGTCCAAAGGGAGAAAACTGACTCAGACTTTGACAGTAAAATAACAATAATGTTGTTTTAACACTCACCTGCCTCAGCCTCTAGTTTTCCTTCTTCTGCGCTGTTCACTCAACATGGAGTCTGAACTAACTGACTGAACATCTTCAGTGTTCCCTCCCTAGTTCTCATGCACCTGGATCACATGGTCTATGTTGCTCCTCCCCTCTCCATTTACAGGAAATCTCGAGTCTGTCTACATGCATGTTTTTTTTTACCAGTTAGAAATATGTTTAAATTAGTTGTAATTCCATCATTCTATTATTAGTTTATTTTGCAGGTAGCCAAAGCAGGTAGTGCCACCACAACAACTCTCTATTTTTACGTGTAGCAGAGTTTTAAAAATGATATTATATTTGTTTGTTTATTCCAATATTTAATATTTTCATACATAATAAGTTGTGAATATGTATTGCTTTTTATAAAGAGAGGAATGACATATAGTCCATGCTGTATTTAGACAGTTAGGCATTGTTCTTCAGGCTCTCAGTGTCAGTATCTTCAATTTGAAATAAAGTAATGGATACTACATTAAAGTACCAAACCTCGGCTTTAATTTGAGCAGGCTTACATCAATAAAGGAAGAACAGTGGCCAAATAAAAGGGTTCAAATTGTTTGAGCTTCCGTTGCAGATTTATTTTCTTCAGATCAATAATGATTAAGTTTTAATGTACCTTCATTTTTATTTATACGGTATCTTTTTGGTTAATGTTGAATAAGTCACTGGAGTCCACACATGAAAATGTAATTTTCACTTCCTATTTTTATGTCAGTTACCAAATGTTTGTCTATGTGACCTAACCCCTGGCTCTGAATAGGGAACTACTCTCAGTGACACCAGAAACATCTCTGCTCAACATTTACAGTTGACAAGGCGTTGTCAAATATTATCTCAGTTTTCTATGTATTCTACGACCCATTTTCTTCATTCATATGTATTTTAATGACTGAAAACTGAAGATAAAGACATTGGTTATGGATTTGAATATATACACTCCAATACTAATCTTTTTAAGAGATTTTCTTTTTTTAGTCTGGGATAAAAATTAATTAAGACCGATATTAACACACATAGTATAGACACATGGTATAAACAAGCGATCCTCAGTTTAAAGCAGTCAAGTCAAATAGGTCTCATGTTATTTCTCATTATTTAGACTGTAAATGTATAATTTCTTTATTTGGACCTGCTCTGTAGCCTTGCATCATAGGAAGTTGACTTGTTTTTCAGTCACAGCAACTAAACAGGGAAGTTGAGTAGTTTATTGCACATCAGTTCAAATTCATTGACTGAACCATTTTCACTTCACATCACAAAAGATGTCATCACTGCTTCTTCTTTGATGTGGGCTTGTTTGGTGAGAAACATTTTCAAGGATTTCACTTTCTGGCTTGTTAACACAGAGAGTTATATTATGTTTTTACTTTTCATGAACTGCATTGAAAAATACATGATATGATGTTTTATCTGCTGGAGTTTGGTTTAGCAGAAAGACACTGATAAAATAAGAGGGTTGTTAACTCTAGCAGCTCGTCTGTGGAATTATTCAGCAGTGACATTAAATCTGATATTTCACATGTTGTTGATAATATACTTACAACACAGTAAAATGTTTTGTAAAAGCTTCTGCATTATTGTGTTTGTAAATCCAGGTGAGGAGTTTCATGGCGGTCCGGTCTCAGATGCTACTTCAGAATAGAGAACCGCTTGTGACGGGTGTGTGTTAGTAAAAATAGAGAAATAGTTGCTGCTGTTCATCATACTATGTCCTGTTTATTATTTATTACTAAATATGCCGTCTCACTTTGTTGTCACTTTGTCACTTTGCTTGTTGTCTTTGCTACTGCAACTGTTCTGCATTTTAATGCTACAACTGCCATTACTGTTTCTTGTTCATAGTATTTTGTGCAACTAAGCAGCTACAGAGTAGACAGTCTTCTCCCTGTTTATACCAGCACATGCATGCCCAGTGTAGGTGAATGGTTATGTTTGTAGCTGTTTTCAGGTGTTACTACTGATGGAGATGTTTTCGTTTTAATATGAAAACATATTAGTGTGCACATAGCCTGAGTTTCCTCTTTGAGATAATGAACATCTTCCACCCATTACTTCTGTGATTTTGCATTTCAACGCACAAAAAATCAACTCCACATTTGATCTTCTCGTAAGCTTTAATCATTTGCCCCACCCCCAACCCCATTACACGCTCATGTTTTGAGAGTTTTAAGGTTTCGACAAAAGTATAAGAATTAAAGATGTGCTGGCAAAAACACCCTGACAGACAGTGTTTCTGCTTCACATTAAGTTCAGTTCTGTTGAAAGGCATGAATCTACCTCACAGAGAGCAGCAATCAGAGCTGCACTGGCTTGTGATCCTTTTATTCGTACCGTGTCGATCACCACTTGAGCTTTGTCTGCCCTGCTTAGTGCTCCAGCAGAATCCATTTCATCTTCAATTATCACCCCACGCTCCAGGAGTTTATCCAAGCAGCTTACGTAGAACAGGTTCAGACACCCTGTTGATAAACCCTGATGAAAGCTGCATGGACTGACTCCACCCCTTTACTGACCTCAGAATCTCCAGTCTACAGTCTGGATTCTTCAGAAAACCACGCAGCTCCTTCACTCCTGAATCCTGCATTGTTGAGACTCAGCTGAAGTTCTCTCAGATGGGAGGGGTTGGACTTCAGAGCTGAGGCCAGAGAAGAACAGCTGATTTCTGACAAACTGCAGTTCATCAACCTGAATAAAGAAACAAAACACGTAGTTTATTGGACGAACCATCTGTCTATCACCATCTATCATGGGCTAACACTTCTCACTGTCGTCACACCTAAGACACGCCCATAGCTGCCAGTCGATCCTCCCTCATGAGACACTAATTGGTCCAAACCACTGGTTCAGCCACAAGCATATAGCTTGGATTGTGGCAAAGTTAATTCCCGGTTGTAAGGAATCCATCGGCCTAATTCATGATTGAAATGGATCATACTTTAAATATTCAGTACTGATCTAGTAAAACGCTCTTGCTTGGTCCTGTCTCTATCCTTCAGATCAGCTCAGGATGTCCAAAACTAAACTTCACAAATTAAACTGAACAAAAACTGTTTAATGCCAAATTACAGATGATTTTTGGAATACTTTGGAAAATTATCAGCAGAAATATATAATAATTCTCAGTCTGTTGATTAAATGGGAAATGATGATATGAAACAATCAGAATTTAAAATGTAATTAATTCATTTAAAACAAATGGATTCAAGATAAGTGTGAAGATATAGTAAATTAGGTTCAGCTGTGGGTTTAAGATATAAGATCTACAACAGTAAGAGAGTGAACTGACCTCAGAGTCTCCAGTCTACAGCCCGGACTCCCCAGAAAATCACACAACTTCTTCACTCCTAAATCCTGCAGGCCCCAGTTTTCACTCAGGTGCAGTTGTCTCAGGTGGGAGGGGTTGGACATCAGAGCCGAGGCCAGAGAAGAACAGCTGATCTCTGACAAACCGCAGTGCATCAATCTGATAAAGAATAAAATATTTAGATAAAATCATTGATAATCAATCAGATATGTCCTAATAATCAAGCTTTTCTCTAAAATGAGTAGAGTCATTTTGTCATTCTGTTATTGTGGCTCATCATAATGATATGACTGGTTAGCTCTCCAACCAATCAGAGAGCTTGTTAGATCCCATGGCCAATTGGGATTGTTTAGCCTGGTTTTACCAGGAGTGAAGGCCCAGAGTGTCATGGAAAGGCTAAATGGAGAAGCTAAATGACTAAGCTAATTTATTAGCTAATGGGAAAATGAAAAGTAATTGGAAAAAGGCAATGGAACTTTAAGAGGGAATCCAGTTAAATCTTATGTATTTATTGATAAATTATTTATCATTATCATTCATTTATAATTCTTTTCACAATTATATGGGCCAATTAAAATATATAATTAAGGAATACTTTGTTACTTTCCTGTGACATCCCTGGTCCTCCATACCTTACCGACTAAAGGAATATAAACAATGGAGGAATGGACAGACAATGGGACTTAGGCCTCCTTGAGGGTAGGGAGTCACCACTGCTTCGCTGGTTTGCTGGTTAATGGGTAGATATTAATAAATTATATTTACAGTACACTAAACAACACAAACTTCACATATATTTAGAAACAAAACAAACCATATATGAAGGTTATTTACAACTGTCCATCAGATTCAGAAGATATCAGACTGCTGTATGTTCTTCTCTACCTCTTCTATCTTTCTTTCCTTTTCGTTGTAGCTACAGTGCAACCTTATGATGGTTTGGTGATTTACTTCAACTCTGAATCTAATACAGCTGCAGCACTTTTCCAACCTTAAAGCTACTTGAGGGGAACTGGATTAAAAGAATGAATAAAATGTCACAGCTTCCTGTCTTGCCGGCTGAACATGATTTTTATGTTGATGTGTTTTAGTTGTGTCTCCTTGTGTGTCATCTGTCTGAGTGCAGATGAGACAAAAGCGCACTATATGTTTGATGCAGGAGCACCACCTGCTGTCCAAACCAACAAACTACCAGCTAAAGTCATATTCCTATTTATCTGTGAATATTGATAAAAAATGTCTCATTAAAAAAGAAAGTTAAGGCTGGGAAGCCAGAGAAACATAAATAATGAAAATAAACAATAAAGATAAATATTACTTTGTGGTTCTCCAAAGACCCATGGGCTTAGTCTTCTCTAAAGCTGCTCTTTCTTTAATTCAACTCAAACTGGCAGTTAAGGTGGTTTTAATCTTCAGAAATGGATTTTCCATGTGGATTAGACAAAGTGGGACTTAATCTGGTCAAGTTTTATTAAAGGTCAGAGTTTTTTTAAAGGCAGAAAATGAAGCCAAAGAGAATAAAAACTGTTAAAGACAGAACTTTACCCTTTGACTTTTCAGCATCTTCAATTTCACTGGATCAAACACAAATGGCAAGTCATCATCATTAGTTGTTACACACTAACATCAGTTACATGACTAACTTGATGCTGGATTCAGATTGGTTGAAATGCTAATGAAATGTTAGGCTACATCAAGTGCATCTTAAGGTTCAAAGTTCTGAACAATCTCATAGTGAAGTCAGTTTGCATCTTATAGATAGATAGATGCTTTATTTATACCTTAGGGAAAATTCATGTGTTCTTTAGCTCTGACAATAATAACAACGGCTCTAATAATAATAACAGTTAATAATAAATAAATAATAATAATTAAATTAGTCCACACCCTTTGGCTGAGTTGTTGCATAGCCTGATGGCAGTGGAAACAAAGGATCTCCTGAACCCCTCTTATGCATACCTACTGTATGTTTAATGTTCAACAAAGTCATGTATTAATGTTATTTCTTTAAGAAATATCTGTCTCTAATTTTTGGAATTTATTTAAGGGCAACAGTGCCCCTTAAATTAAATGTAAACCTAAGTGTTGAGCCCTGTATGTGATTTAAATTCGGTTTTGTTATTCATTCTATCATTTCCATTAAAAGCTATGCTTGTTGGCATGAGCTATACCAATAAAGTTAATTAAAATTATACTAAATATTGCTCTCCGCCCCAGATGTTTAAAACTCCTCTTCCTCATCTGCCACGTTTTTGCTCCTTTCCAAAGAAAGCGACGAGACTGGGAAGCTGTACGGGAATACGATTAGTCCAAAATCACGAGATCCCGCCTTTAGCCCCGCCCATATGCTGACTGTGCGGCTCTGATTGGTGGAATCGGACGTCAGTCACCGTTACTATGGACTTTGGCTTTGCTGGTATCCAAGTGAGGACGTGATTTTGGTCAACTCATAGTTTCATCAATGAGAGCGGAGAGCAGAAAACGAACAGGACCGTCCGCTTCGTTCACGTTCTTCACATAATAACAGCTAAGTTAGCTTCTTAGTTCGTAGCTGCATTACTAAGAAAAACCCCGCGCTGTGGGAATGGCCCAGAGAAAGAATCCCAAAACCCACCCAAAAAAAGGTCAGTAACGTTACTCTTTTCTTGCTGGACTTCGCGACGTGCTTTTTACGTCTTCTGTACAAATTTCCATTTCATCTTCTGCAATGTGAAGTTGTCTTCCCCATCCGCTGAACGTGTATATTCAGTAGAAGGAAACCGACGATGTTCAGGGAACGGTTGAGATACGCTCTTCGCTGCGGCTAACATACCGACACATTATCCAACACGGGCTTCAGCTTTCTGAGCCGGTTCGCCCGAGATTCCCACGGTCTTCTCCAGGCAAGAATGCGTCGCGCAGGGCGTCTAGAAGCAGCGTTAACAAGCAGTTAAACTTAAAAAATGTCATTAAAGTCAATATAGTTTGTGTATTTTACCTACGCCGAACCGAGGAGCTGTTTTTTATACGTTCGTGTAAATTTCTCGATTGGTGTATTTTTAGGTTTTTGTCCTGACAGTGAATAATAACATATTTAACAGACATAAATTTGAATGGTGTCTTGTGTGACGTTCGGGGGCTAGTTTAGCTTTTTCTTGCTAGCTGTCAGAATATCCAAAATATAGAATATATAAAGTCAACTTAACGACATGATTGAGATTAAAACGAGGGATGCTCTGTATGATTACCAGCTTGCTTGTCCAGCGGTGTCATGGAAGTGGCCCTGTAAATGATGCTAAGCTAGCCTAGCTTCTATAAGGGACAGCCGGCTAACAGAGGCTAATAAATTACATTTTAAACAGACAGCAGTTAGCTGTTGATATTCCTGTGATGTGTATGTGTTTTTAACAAGGTCCAGGGATGGAGCCGAGATCAAACTCGGTTAAAATCACTTCATCTCCACCTTTACAAGCCTGACATGAAGCTTTAAGGTTATTCTATAATCATTACATAGCTTAATCGTCATTGTTAATTAATATAGCGAGGGGAAAACACATTCTTGTTATTGTTAGTATGTCAGTGGTAGTCTTGGGTTCGATGACCTTATCATACTGGTTTGCATTTACATCAGATGTGTTGTGATATTTGCACAGTATCCTATTAAAAGAAAATGATGACAATTATAGTTTAAACTTGTGGAAATGGAAATACTCTTTTGATAATGATCAGTGGAGGAACAATAGTTTATTTTATTTATTTTATTCACTGATTCGTTGCTGTATCTGGGCAATTTACATCATGAAATACAGAGGTCTCTATAGTAGGCCTAGTACTAGTAATGGATGTGTCATGTATCCATAAATAAATAAAGTTAGTGATTAGCATTTGCATCAGTGATTTTAAAAGTCAGGGCAGTGTGCATTAATAATGATAATAATAATAATAATACATTTATTGATATAGCATCTTTCAAAAACAAAGTTTCAAAGTGCTTTACAATAAAAACAGAAATGCAAATAATAAAATCAAACAACAGTCAGTAAGTGAGTTCCAAAGCCGAGAAGGAAACTTGAAGTGCACATCACCTCTGCACCACTGACCCACCTGCAAATAACCAAAGCAGGCGGGTTTCCTGCAAACACTGAGTCAGGTTGTTCTTGTTCAACATGTGATACAGACCAGACCTCACACAGCTTCATGTTGTGTTTGAGCCCCTCCGAGCTGTAGACTGCAGCTTGAAGCACCAATTGTCAAGATCCTGTATAAAAACTGACGCTAAATGTGTTGAAACTTATCTTTATCACAAAACGTGTTTTCACTCTCTGCCCTTAGTAGTTGCTTCTGTCACATTTGCTTGTCACAACACATGCAAGTAAAGCAGCAGGAAGGAGTAACGCACATATAGATTTACTCTGCCTGTGAACAGTGTGCTCTGTCTAGTCCCGACTCTCAGGTCAAACTCTTATCCAACTATATAATATATGTTACTCCTAATAGGAAACACTGCATGATGTGCTCTTTATTTTAAGTAAATTTTGATGCTTATACTTTTGTCCTTTTATTAAAGTAACACTCTGAATGCAGGACTTTTACCTTTAACAGAGTATTTCCACACTGTGGTATTGATCCACCACTGGAAAAAAGCAAATTGATAACATTATCATGGGCTCTGAGGAATTATAAATAGACTAAATGATCAATTGATAATAAAAATAATCATTGTAGCTGTAACAGCTGTAATATGGTGATAGTCTGCTGTGGTTAAGTAAAGACTTTCTGTTTCTTTAGTTAAAGTGACATATCACACAGCTGAGAGACAGTAGTTATGTGTGTGTGCGTGCGTGCGCACGTGTGTGTGTGTGCGTGTGTGTGTGTGTGTGTGTGAACAAACAAGTGTCAAGGTTATTTGGTGGGTTATTCTGTCCTCTCTGGCATCTGACACACACACTGAGCGTCCCTGGGTTTGTCAGCTCTAATAATAGTGTGGATCAGGTTCAGGACTAGACTGCAGCCGGTCACAATCACTGGGCTGCTGGGAGGAAGAGGAGGAAGAGGAGGAGTCTGTCTGTCGTTCTCCTGCAGTAGTTCACCTCTTCTTTCTTTTGGATGATCAGTAATTTGGAATACTTGTTCTTCCGGATTGTTTTTATCACCTTTCGTCAGTTCACCGATGTTTTACTTTTACTTTTTAAACTTCTATTTTGTGTAGTTGTCTTAAAGTACTTTGGGATCTTTTTGAAAAGTTTGAAATAGTTCTTTTTTCATTCGTTTTTATTTGATCTCAATCCTTTTTTTTTTTTTTTACTGTCTTTCCGTTTGGTTTTATCTTGCAGGTCCTTCACCTTCATATTCTAAAACAAATATCTTTGCTTATTTTGATGGTGGTTTTTGTGCGAGCCACTGTGCATCACTAGGTGAGAGGGTTTGTCTTCAGTTGTCCCGGTCTGGCTTTGTTCTGGTCTTGCTTGGTCCTGTTTTTGGGTTCAGCTGAGACCCGAGAAGGTCCATGCAGCGCTACCGCCAATATGGCGCCTCCTACTCCCCCTCCTCCTCCTCCTCCTCGCACTCCTCGGCTCCTGTAGAGGAGGTCCAGGCTGAGGAGGAGGTGTACACTGAAGAGGAGGTGTATGAAGACGAGGAGCCGCTGATAGAGGAGGGAGTGCAGGATGTGGTCCAGGAGACAGGTAGGAATGAGTATGAATGAGGTTTGGCCTGGTTTGGTTCAGTTTGGACTTGGTTCTTATCTGGCCTGGTTTGGCTCGGTTAGGAGATGCTAATGAGGAGGAGGTCTCACAGACGAAGGAGGAAGTAACACCTGCTGTCTCTGCGACAGGTAGGAAAGGTTTATGAGCTTGGTTTGGCATGGATTGGTTTGGTTTGGCATGGTTAGTGTTTGAATGCTGGATAACTGAAGCACTTGTTTCTTGTTATAATTTGGTTTGTTGAGTTGTTTATTGACTTGGTTTGATTTGGTTCGACCTTAGACTCAAACTTAGTACATCCTGTAGCTGACTTTCACAGTAAAAGCCCTCCAGTGAGGAGAGTAGTGTATGGCTTTTACTTATTATGAAGTAGCCACAGAAAAATCCTGGTTTTTCACAGCATGTTTCTTTTTTTGGGAGGATTTTGGAGTTTGAGGCCAAACGTGGCTCAGAATGAATTTGGACTGGCATGGTTTGGTTGTACGTTGAGCTAAGTCGCCTTCTAACAGCATTAACCAATCACAGCTGACCAGATAGAGTTGTAAAGTGGGAGAAGCTGCTGGTATCAGACATGTTGTTCCCCACTGAAACAGGCGTCTCCTGGATCATTAAACAGGACTAAAGGTTCATGTTAATGTCATTCATTTTAATTCAATCAGCTTTGTGTCTTAGAAGTCAGGATTTTTCTGTTAATTTGGGATGGTGCGTGGCTCTTTATGAGCCTTGGCTGCCATTAGACGCGTTTTTTTAATTTGCACACACAACAGAATTAAACTGGATAATAGAAATAAAACAAATGTTGCAACAATTATTCAATCAATTTATTTGTATATTATCAAAATTCTATTATGATAATATACAATTTTTAATTGACGCAGACTTACCTTAACTAAAAGGTAAAAAAACCACTAAACTAAACCAATAAATACGACATGTTTTACCAAATACAAAGAAAATAAATTACAACAAGAAACGCACAAAACGAACACAGGAGATTATAAAGTGTAAAAAGAAAAAACTACAGATATAAAAATATAAAAAAAGACACAATTATACGCAATCAATATCTAATTAGACATCAGGAATATTGTGATCATGATTTTATTTTGTAAGGAAGACGAGGATGTTCAACCTATTTCCAAATTAACCCAGAATCAGAAACTGATTTTTTAAAATGTTATAGAAATGCACCTTGGGAAGAGAATAAGAACAAGAAAAGAACCAAGGACCTTTCTAACAGCGTTGTCTGTCCCTGTAATCGCAGTAAAGAAACCTTCCTCAGGCTGCGATGATTTCAGAGACACATGAAGTTTAATCACACACACACTTCAGAGTCTCATAAAGAAAAGGATATTTGTGGAGTCCATCTCGAGCATTAAGTCCATTAATTAGATACGATGGCAAAAAGCAGACAGCTGTTGTTATTAACTACAGACATTTCAGTCCTGAGTGCTGGAGGACGAACAGCTGTTCAGTCTTTCACTGCTCTCTCTCTCTGTCAGGGTCATGTTGACTCCATGTCTCTCGCTCTATTCCTGGGTCCCCTTCAGGCTTTGCTGAAGCTTTGTTAGATTACATCCGAGGTTCCCACGTGGCTTTTTGTTCCTCCACGCCGGCGACGGTCAGAGCCGGAGCCATATTGTTTCGGGTTGTCCGTCCGTCCGTCCCATTCTCGTGGACACGATATCTCAATAATGCCTTGAAGGAACTTCTTCAAATTTGGCACAAACATTCACTTGGACTCAAGGACGAACTGAGTACACTTTGGTGGTCAAAGGTCAAAGGTCACAGTGACCTCAGAAAACACTTTTTAGCCATAACTCAAGACTTCACAGCAATTATGACAAAATTTCACACGAATGGTGCATTACATGTAATATCTTCTATGACTGGATAAACAGGGATGTAACCTGGAACTAGTCTGAGTGGCGGAGGGATACGACCACGAGGAGGTGACTCTAGTTTAAGAGTGTCTTTCTAAAGCATTTGAATGTTTTTGTCAAAGTATATTAACAGCCTGAATGTGTGAGTTTTCCGTCATCACTCGTGGCCCATGAAGGAAACCCTCAGATGTAGATGTGAGTTGATAAAGCTCAAGTTTGATCATGACAGAGTTCAGATCAAGAAAAAAACCCTTTACATGATACGTCTGCTTCTGCTTAAACTCAAGACATGACAGATTGGAGTCTTTATAAAATAATTACATAGCCTGGGACTAACTAACACTGTTTACGCTGTGTCTGATGTCCTCAGAGGCGAAGACGCCGCCAGTGGAAAGCAAGAATGGAAAGAGGACAGAAGGAAGAGGAGGAGGAGGAGGAGGGGATGCAGGAGGAGGAGGTCCTAAATACTCCATGTTCACCTGGTTTGTGGTGCTGGCTCTGCTGGGAGTGTGGAGCTCGGTGGCCGTGGTCTACTTCGACATCGTGGACTACGACAGCGTCATCGGTGAGTGAGAAGATGAGTTTAATGTGCACGGTACAGCACATGCATGCTCACACGGAGAGGAGATGATGCACAGTACTTGCTTTTAACGACACGTTTGCATGTGTATAATGACTACACGGCGTATCCTGCTCCTGATATGAGAACTCGCTCAAACAGCACGGGCCGTCATCAGCCCAATAGATCCAACTCATCAGTCAGCACAGAACACCTTAAGTTAAGATTTCCCTTAAAGTTTCCGTGAAGTTCCAACAACATGAGGATGAGATAGCGTCCCAGCTTCCTCGATAACGGGTGTAAGTTAATGGCAGCAAACAAACGGTCTCCATGGAAACAGTAGAATTTTACCGCTGTAAAATCTCTTTCACTGTTGTAAATTACTTACCGTTTTTCCTAAACTCCCTTTGAAGAGATCCTAAGTAACTCGGTCATCTAAGGAGAAATTAAACCTTATGTGTCAGACTTAAGGAGAAAAACTTCCCCTCTACATGCTCCTGTAAATGTGAAAAAGATTTCACAGTAAAACAAAAGGAAAGATGTTCATGTCTGAGCTGAAGTGAAATGTGAGAAGTGATGAGTAAGTTTCACGAGTTCAGGACGTCGAGAACCACAGTGAAACAATTCATGTTGTGTTGTGTCATGTTCGCTGGCCTAGTTTCTGGTTCACAAGAGCAACTACACACACTCACACACACACACACACACACACACACACACACACACACACACACACACACACACACACTCAGACACACACACACACACTCACACATACTCAGACACTCAGACACACACACACACACACACACACTGACACACTCAGACACAGTACTGAAAGTTTCAGAGTTTTGGTTTTAATACAGGAACCTGCCTCCATCTTCATGTGGTTATGGCAGACATGGAGGCTTCTTCCCCTAAGACAGACAGACACACACACACACACACACACACACACACACACACACACACACACACACACACAGATGACATATTTATCTTATCTCAATCTTATCTCAGACTTCATGGCTGCTTCTCTCACACATCAGATGGAAACATGAGTTAAAGTGCTACAACTCACTTCCTGTTAATGAGTGATTATAAACTGTGACAGCTGAGTTTATGGTGTTTGGAAACAAAGTGAAACAACCACTGCAAACCAGACAGCTGTCAACTGACTTCTGTGCTTCTTCTTTCATCGCTGTTTTGAGCTGTATAATATATGAAGAACTAACACTCAGGTGTAACGGAACAACGGCGCCTCGTTCAGGAATTTGTTCTTATTTTTTCTGTTCTTAAGAGACCAATAAGAAAATGAAGAGTCCAGTTCTTGACACTTAGATGTCAGATTTGTCCTGTGTAATCCTGCAGACATCAGGCTTCAAGGTCACGTATTTACAGCAGTAACCAAAATTATACCAGTGGCAAAAATAGTGACTTTATTTTCCTCCACCGAAGTAGATCACCAGGCTGGTTTGGCAAGAACAAAAACATTTATTTTATTCCAGCTGTGTGAAACCAAATAAAGATCTCTGGTATCAGTTTACAAAAAGGTTGTTTTTACCTACGAACATTTTTAAACTAGGAAACAAAACTTTAAAATAAGTTAAGAGCAAATCTGCATGAGAGCGTTTCATGAATGAGGCCCATTGTCTCTGATTTTATATACGAGATGCTGAAAATGAACAGACTGTGTTGGCTTGAACACTGGGTTGTGATAATAACAATATTCTGTATATTCATTATAGATTTAATGATATTCTGGAAATATTCAGGAAACCCTGTTTATTCCATGCAGATCCTTCACAATAAAAGCCTTCTAGTCGCACTGTGTAGCTGGAGGACTTTTACTGTGACGGCTAGATCTAAATTTTGACAATTTTTAAAACGTTGCACATATGAAAAAGATAAAGTGACCCATCATGCAGCGCCGTGTCTCCTCTGTTATTTCTTTGTACTAATTCAGTTTTCTCTCACTGCAAACAAAGAGGAAGATTGACCCTCACGGCTTCTCTGTCTTCATCCCTCCTCCTCCTCTTTTCTCTCTCTCTGTGTTATCTCTGCATGCAGCCAGAGCTAAGGAGTTTCATATGAACTTTTCTGAAGTTTTACAAGGTATGGTGTCACCATTTAAACACACGTTAATGTCTTAATTAATGACTATTCCATCGTTTTACACTGTGGATCCATCAGAGCGAATGTCGCCACCAGCACACTAGAATAGATGGAGTCGACATGATGAGGTAAAGGGTGAGAGAAGGAACTGACCATTGAGTGGAAACAGCACTAATGTAAGCCAGTGAACAAAGTCTAATAATAATCCTTCCTGTCTGCGCATGGCGGCGATGATTGGTAGTATGGGTTTCATGACAGTGTTATATTTAGTGGTCAGCTTTCTTCACATTAAGACCATATTTCCCATCAGCCCTTCTGCTTCCTGTCCTTCTTTTTTCAAAAACCTTTCTGCTTTAACCAGAAACTAAAGTAAAAATTAAAGCTTTTTACTCTAATACATAAAACAGTCAAATAAAATCACAGTACCACTTTACAATAAGACGACCCTTATAATATGATTTATGAATGGTTTAGAACTGGTTTATTAATTAGCTTGGTTCATTTATCATCATGTATAAGCTGTTATAACACATTAGATAAAATTGTTGCTTGCCAAATAGTGAGCCCACATTTATCTGAACTATTCAGCCTCATATCTCATTAGTTACTGAGCTTCCTCTGTTTTCTCCATCATCCAGCGTTAGTACCTGCTGCTTCTTCAGATATCACTGAAGATACCACTTCATAATAAGACGACCCTTATGAAGGATTCATAAATGGTTTATAATTATTTATTTTATTAATTTGGGTGTTAACACTTTATAAATCATAAATAAACAGTTTTCATACATTGATGCAGGCTCACTATTTGGCAAGATCAATGCTTACTACTCATTATTCTTACTAATGAGTTACTATCATTTATAACTGGTGAAAGGAGAAATATAAATATATACATGTATGTGACTGCAGGCATGTTCTGAGAAAAGACTGTAACAAATGTTTTCTTCTTATTTCATTGTGGTTTCTGTCTAAAGCCAAAAATGTGCAACAGGAAAACAAACACTCAGCAGACACGCACAGAGGGACAGGCAGCTTTAATCCAGTGCACCTTCTTCAGGTTGAATGGATGAAAACTCAGATCCTCGTCTGCTATCGTCACAAACATACTGCCTTTCCTCCCAGACGTGAACCCAGCTGTGAACTATAGAAACAAATCTTATAAAGGTGGCTTATTCGGTGACTGAGGACCATGTAGATGTAATTAATCAGACTTATTACTCTGCACCAGTTCAAGCAGCCGTCTCAAACTTCAGGACAGAGACAGACACAAAGACTCGACGCTTTCAACCGGTGGCTTCACATTCTGACAGTAGACCCTGTGTTATCTGGAGGCCTCAGTGTCTGACAGACATCATGACCATCCACCACATCCTTCCTCATTCTGCAGCTTCACAGTTTTTAAATGAAGACTTGCATACATGCACTTTCACGTGCTGCTGTGTGCTATTAATATGGCATGTGCTGAGGTCGTAATCACAGCTTGTATCAATACCTGAGTTCTCCGTCTTAGCCAGAGTCATTTTTTCTTATCTTCAAATGTTGGGAAATAAAGCTAAATTACAGCTTTTATTGGGGCTTCATTTTGCAGCTAATAACTGGGTCTGTCTGTTTTAGGTCTGTGCAGAACTCTTCTTAGTGCACAGGTTCATTTAGACAATAAATCCTGCTTTATTGTCATTTTTGAGTTAAGCTTTTTATTCAGGACTCCTTACAGTTCCATGAATGCATGCACTGTATTTTGAGTATGGGGGCTCTGCAGGTCAGGGGGGGTCATGATAATATTACCATACTTCAGGCATCTGCCACACTGAGGGAAAAAAATCTGAAATGATGAGAATAAAGTCATAATATGAGAATAAAACTGTAATTTAACAAGAAAAGTCATAATATTATAAGAATAAAGTTGTGATTTTGAGAATAAAGTCATAATATTTAGAGAAAAAAGTCATAGTATTATGAGAATAAAGTTGTAATTTGATCAATTTATTCAATCACAAAGTAAGATCTCCCATCTTAGAGTTCACTGATTTAAAATAAATTTTATTCTCATCATATTCAGCCCCTAAAGAGCAGATATTATATATTTACGTCACTCAGGCTTCCTCTGCTCCTCTTCCTCCCTCAGGTAAACTGACGGCCTACGACACCGATGGAGACGGAGACTTCGATGTGGAGGATGCTAAAGTTCTGCTCGGCAAGTCCACTTTAAATCTTGTGTTTCCTGTTTCCTCTCTGAAACGGCTCAAAGACAAAGTGGTTTACAGTTGTGTCCCAGTGCCTCAGTTTTAAAGTCGGCGGTAACTTTGCTAAAGCAGCGAGCGAGCTCGGGTAGATCTGCATGTTCTGGCACCTGTATGGAAACACGATTGGCTGTGTGACTATGAACACTGAGGAGACGCTCATAACAAGAGCTTTACTCTATTTTAGTGTCAGATACAAGAGTGCAATTTAATATATAAGGTGTGTCTTGTTTCAGGCTGCAAACGTGTGACTTCACCCTCTCACATTGACTGAAAGTGAAAATTAACACTGTGTTGATACAACAGAAAATGTTCCTTGTCTCGCCTGTGCGTCATCTATAATCCACTGCACATGTTCGGGCTGTGTTCACACTTACAGGCCACCTCGACTTTCCTCTGCAAACTTTTCAAGAAACATTTGTTGACATTTGCGATAAACGAATGGTCAGGAGGAGTAACGCTGAGACTGAGCTTCAGGAAGACTTTCTTATTGAATCTTTAATTGAAGTAGGTTTATAACTGCCAGTGTCAACAGCTCTGTCCATCTCCGATCTCTGGCATCTGATTTCTCTGCTGCATCTAACACAGAAAACTGTTTTTACCTTTACCGCTTCAGTTCATGTCTTTTATTTTCACTCTTTACTTTTATTTTGGTAAATAACAAGAAAAACATGTAAATCAGGAAATCGTATTTCCGTATTAACAAGCTCCCAATTTCCCATCCAACCCCAACACAGAAGAAGGAAGTCCATCAAAATACAAACTTGTTTTCTTGTTCTACTTTCTTGTGATTAAGAATTAAAAGAACAATATTATCAATTAAAAAGAACGTCTACATCCAATTTACGTTCTATAATTGGTTCATATTGTTCTTCATTAGCTCAGCACTAGATTCATGTCACCCTGAATAACCTATAGCTGCATTTTTATTGGACAAATAATCAACCAATCACGTGTCAGGACACACCGGACCGGCATTTCCTGTAAATGACAATCTGAGCATGTAAACACCAGCTGATGAGATCCAGGTAAAATCCATTAAAAGCTGGACTGCTACATCAGAGTATCTACAAGTCAGAGATGTTGGAGGATAAAAGATGGCCGCCGCTGTTCTTTATACTTTTGTCGAGGCCTGACGAGACGGACAGGAAGTGAGGGCTTATTTAATGTCTATGGTTCATCTGCGACTTTAACTCACTATCTTTCTCTTTGTCCTGTATCATCATTCTTTATTTTCTGTTACGGCCGTTCTCCATTCCTTCATACCATCCTTTGCCCCTTCCTTCCTTCCTTCCTTCCTTCCTTCCTTCCTTCCTTCCTTCCTTCCTTCCTTGATGTCTTCTTCTCCTCATACTTACCCCTCATTTCTTTTTCTTTCACCTCTTCTCCTTTTTATAATTTACTCCTTCCAACCCTCCTTCCCTTTGTGCCTCACCCTTTCCGTTCTTCCCTTACTCCCCCTTTCATCTCCTCCTCTCCCATCCTGTCTATTTTTCTCCTTCCCTCCTTCTCTCTCTCCCTCTCTCTCTCGTCAGGCTTGACCAAAGATGGCGGTGGTAGTGCGAATGCCGAGTCGCTTGAGGAGGTTCTTGATATTTTAGCTGAGGAGGGCTCTGATTGGATCTATGGCTTCTTCACCTTCCTCTATGACGTAGTGTCCTCACCCGTAGAGCGGGGTGAGGAGGAGGAGGAGGAGGGGAAGGAGGCGGCGGCAGCTGAGAGGCAGGAGGAGGGCGGGGTGACCTCCTCTGACGATGAGGTCAAAGGGGTCATACTGGACCTCCAGAACCAATAGGAGGACAGGAGGCAGAGCCACAGCCAGTAGAGAGGCTCCCTGGTCCCACCACCGACCAATGAGGACCAGGCTGGGACGTACAGTAGCCCGGTCCAGCTGGAGGAGGATGGCCGTCTGTATGATGGGGTGCGGAGGACCTGATGTCTGGTTTCCAGTGCAGGATCAAACTGGGCGGACTGGCCGTACAGTCCTTTAACCCTCAAATCACAAAACTCATCCCGTACCCTCTGAAAGCGATTTAAAAAGAGACTATTGATGTTATTGGATTGATTAGCAAAGTGATATATTAATGTAAGTGATATCCGTGTAGACGATTTCCAAACGTGACCAAAAATACACAGATTATTTTAATGACATTTTAATTCATGAACCCTGAGATGTCGTACAGGACGTCACAAACCTGATGTCACGTCTAAACTACAGATTTCATTTGGATTTCCAGCTGCCGTCAGTTTCAGGTTATTTCTACGAACAATCAGCCTTCATCAACATGAGGCTGAGATATTACACTTTCCATCTCAGTGAACTTCAAGTTGCCTTAGTTTTGTTGTTTATTTAAAACTAGAGGTGCGCAATTAATCGAAATATAATCAATCGCAGGAGCTGCATGAAGGTAAAATGTGTCACATAGTTGAGCATTGTTAGCATCGTTAGCATTGTGGTGCTACAGAGACGCCCCGACCTACAAATCATATCCTCCAGACGTAAAGGAACAAAAATCACATCATCATCAGTTTCTTTTTTTTTTTTCTGAAAATAAAATGTAAAAACGATCATTCCAGCTGAAATCGCAACATCACTAAGATTGTTTTGCATATCGTGCAGCGCTATTTAAAATCTAATTTACATTGTTGTATTATTATTGTACACTTGTGAGCAGGGAGTTTTAAACCACAGTTTGTGAGTTATGTGATGCTCTGAAATCAGACGTGTTAAAGGACAAAACTTTTACTTATTTCCCCACAAATAGTTTGATTTGTGGGATGAAGAGAAACACGTTGCTGCAGCTCTGTCGGGCTCGGCTCGGCTCGGCTCGGCTCGGCTCGGCTCGGCTCTGCAGTCGGGATCTGGATCTTTGTCTTGAGACTGAGTCTTAACCATCGACCTTCAAACTAATGCCGGCAGATCTCGACTCTCAGCAGCGACTCTGTATGTTTCATTCAACCAGTCCTTTCTAAAGTTGTATTAGTTGTGTTTGATGATGACGTCACTGCTCTGCTTTTTATATTCTGCTGTGTTCTCTAACATTAATAAGACTCACTGCATATTAACAATACTTCCACTTTTTTGCCTGTAAACCACTAATATACACATTGATACATTATCAGCTGCTTGGGTTTGATATTGGCAGATTGATCCGTCATCGTTTACCTTTTTGATTTATGTGTTTTTAAGCTACAAGTTCACAGTAATGCTTTAAAAGTAAATATTAAATGAATCCTGGTTCACTCAGTGTGCAGACAACACAGTGTAACTGCAGTTTCCAGTTGGTTTTAATGGGAACAAAAAAGAATTGCAGCTGAGTTTACAGTCGCATTAATTTAGTTTCTCTTAGCGCTTAGCTGTTAGCTTTGTCACTAGTTTACATCAGTAATGAAGAATAAATGTGAACAGTTAACTGTGCTAGAGACAAGTTAAACTGTTTAACCACACGTGTCATGGAAAACTCAACAACATCAGTAATCAACACAACATCAAAGCTTGGATTGGATTACATTTTCTAATTATTCTAAAGCTTTCACAGTAAAATGTCAGATGACTTGACTAGAGATTTCCTGAGCCGATCCTAAGACCTGGTTTCAGGATCCGTCTGGGCGTATTTCAGAGGATTGGTATCAGCTCATCTTCATCTCCTAATCTCATGCTAATAATCTTTAGCTAAACAAGAAGAAGACATTTAGCCAGTAGTGAGTGTAGCTTTGAGTGAACTGAGTAACATTCATATCATATCAATGATTTAAGATTATAGACTGATCAAGAAGCTCATTAAGTAATAACATGTAACGTAGATTTAATCACTGGGTTATTATTAAGAAAAATCCCTGATCAGTACGTCCCTGCTCTCGACACGTGCAGCTGGTGGTTTTCATTACCTGTCTCTGCTGTCTGTTGGTTCAGATGAGAAGAAGTTAAAGGGTCCTGTTCCCAGGAGAGACAGACTGAGGAAAGGTACAGTACGGTCAGCGTCTGTGTGTTTGTACCTGTTCCCTCGCTCGCACTCAGCTGACAGCTCTGTCTCTAAATCTTGTAGAGGACAAGAAAGAGGTGAAGAAGAAAGGTAAAAGTAAAGGTATTGTCTCCGGTTCTTGTGTTCCTGCATGACTCTGTCTGACGCTCAGTCACTAAATGAGGCGTCGACGCTCATTTTTAGGGCTGATTTTAAACTTTGCTGGCGAGTGTTTTGCAGTTTGCCTGGTGTGATGGTTTGACCTTTGCCATTATGGTGTTGACTTTACCTTCAGTACCAAACACTGTGTGTGTGTGTGTGTGTGTCGTCCTAGAAGAGAAGAAGTTAGAGGACGCCACTCAAGAGGTTAAAGCCCCCAAAGGTAGAGGTCTGACCGCTCTGTGTGAGTTAGCTCGTACACTAATCCCTTGTTGACTCGTTTGTTGACTGCGGTCTGTCTGCAGCAGGAGATATGCAGCTCACGGTCTGAACAAACGTTCTTATATTTGATATCCAGCTCAACCTCTTTGTTACCGAGCTGTTTGTTAAACGCTCTGAGCTGACGGGCTGTTTGTTCCCTTCTGTGTCAGACATGACAGAAGGAGAAACGGCCGCCAGAGAGAACGCAACCCGAGGTACTAAAACCTGCCGTCTGCATGTTCAAAATGAAGCCTTTGTTTTCTCTTTGGTCTGACTGATACGTTCAAGTAGATTTTGGTTTAACAGCTGGAAGTCCACTGATCTTGCTCGTGCATTTTCACGACAGTGCGACCTCTGTGACCTCTGTGACCTCCGTGACCTCTGTCTCACCATGATTGTTTAGAATAGTTTGGTTGGTTCCTTGCAGACCCACTAATCATTCATTTTTTAACATTGTGATCAGCAGGACAGGTAAACATGACACTATAGATCATGAAACAATATATTATCACACTGTTGTTGTAGATAGAGACACTGATCGGTGTCATACCGTACGGTACGTTGTACTGTCAGGAATTTAGTTTTCTGAGTTGGTTAAAAACAGACGTCTGTAGTTCTTTCACTCGTCAACAGTTTATCACAATATATATTGATATTGTACCATCAGCAGTACAATAATCATTACCATATGTAGATTAATTGATGAAAAAAAAGGCTGAAATATTGATTAATTGACTCATTATTTAAGTAGTGTTCATTTCAGCTTCTCAGCTTCTCAAAAATGAGGATTTGCTGCTTTTTTTGCTGCATTTCACAACATTGTGTATTGAATCTTGTTCACTTTGGACATTTGTCATTGTGACACTTTAAGTGATTAATTGTTTAAGCTTTCAATCAAATAAAGATTTGATGGAATATATTATAATGTGGTTAATGACTTTTTACCACCTTCAGATCTCGTCATGAGTCAAAGTTACACTGAGTTTTCTCTAAGACACTGATACATGAAGATGATAACACTCGGCTTTTCATTCATTAACTAACTAATTCTGATCTTTGGTTCACTGTAGAAATGATTGATGAAGTGATTGGATGCATTTTTAACACTTCCTCGGTTGCTGTGTGTCAATACTTGACGAGTCGGCATGTTTTCACTCAAGTTTGTGGACGATCATTTCCTGTTAAAATCCCACCTTTAACCTCAAACTTCAGACACTCCTGTCCGCGGCGCCAGTCTGCGCTCGGCTCTGAAAGAAGAGCTGAGGATGATCCACGAGAAGATGGAGGCCAAGAGGATCGCTCGCATCGCTCTGGCCGAGATCAGGGCCTTCCTCGCCGAAGAGGAGGAGGAGAAGGAGGCGGCCTGGGCGTTGAAGATGAAGACGCTGGAGGTTGCACAGGAGCAACTGAGAGAGGAGAGGGAGAGGGAGGCAGAGAGAGTGGAGAAGGAGAAAGAGGAAAAGGAGAAGGCAGAGAAGGAAAAGATAGAAAGAGAGAGGATGGAGAAGGAGAGGATTGAAAGGGAGAAGGCCGAAAAGGAAAGGATGGAGAAGGAGAGAGCGGAGAAGGAGAGGATGGAGAGAGAAGCCAAAGAGAAAGCTGAAAAGGAGAGGATGGAGCAAGCGGCCAGAGAAGAGAGGGAACGACTGGAGCGAGAGAAGATTGAGAAGGAAAGGATGGAGCGAGAGAGGGCAGCCAAGGAAAAGGAGGAGAAGGAACGACTAGAGAAAGAAAGACTGGAGAGGGCTGAAAAGGAGAATATAGAGAGGGAACGCGTCGCCAAAGAGAGAGAGAGAATAGCTAAGGAGAAGGAGAGGATGGAGAGAGAGAAGGCGGAGAAAGAACGACAAGAGAAGGAGAGACTAGAGAAAGAAAGGATCGCCAAAGAGAAAGCAGAGAAAGAAAGACTGGAGAGGGAACGCATCACCAGAGAAAGAGAGAGACTTGAGAAAGAAAGGATTGCTAAAGAGAAAGCGGAGAAAGAAAGACTGGAGAGGGAACGTATCACCAGAGAAAGAGAGAGACTTGCCAGAGAGAAGGAGCGACAAGAGAAAGAAAGAGCAGAAAAAGAAAGACTGGAGAGGGAGCGCATCGCCAGAGAAAGAGAGAGACTTGAGAAAGAAAGGATTGCTAAAGAGAAAGCGGAGAGAGAGAGGCTGGAGAGGGAGCGTATCGCAAAGGAAAGAGAGAGAATTGCAAGGGAGAAGGCTGAAAAGGAGAGGCAAGAGAAAGAACGAATCGCCAAAGAAAGAGCAGAAAAAGAAAGACTGGAACGAGAACGCGTTGCTAAGGAAAGAGAGAGGATCGCCAGGGAAAGAGAAAGGGCAGAAAAGGAAAAACTGGAAAAAGAAAGAATCGCCAAAGAGAGGGAGAGGATGGAGAGAGAGCGCATCGCCAGGGAGAGGTTAGAGAAAGAAAAGGCGGCAAAAGAGAGAGCAGAGAGGGAAAGACTGGAGAGGGAAAGAGCAGAAAAAGAGAGGGAGCGAATGGCAAAGGAAAGAGAGAGAGTCGCCCGGGAGAAGGAGCTGATGGAGAGACAGAGGCTCGCCAGAGAAAAAGCTCTGCGGGAGAAGATGGAGGCGGAGAGGCTGGCGAAGGAGAGAGCGGACAGAGAACGAAACGCCGCGAAGGTTGACGTGAACAGACGGGAAACTCTGGAGAGGAAACCAAACGCCTCTCAGCCGAAAGCTGCGGCAGCAGAGGGGAAGACTGAGAGAGTGAGTGTGGCAGCGGTCAGGAGAGAGAGGAGTGCGGCGGAGGAGAAGACGGCTGTGGGCGGGAAATGATGCTGCGGCACAAAGTTAGTCTCATAAACGGTGCTAGAACTTGAGTTTACTGAGGGTTAAAGGAAACGTGCAACAGGAGACTTAAAATAAAGTAAAGAAATATCTAAACTGTGAGCTTTAGTCACTGCAGAGCAGAGGAATCCTGACGTCACACAAGGGAACAGACCAAAGAGGATTTAAACAGTAGTTTGGTGCAGGTAAAAACAGAAATGCCCAGGTGTAATATTAATCTACACTCGGTGTCCTGCTGTTTGTTTGCTGGAAGCGTCTTGCTTCAGTTTGCATGTTGGTGTGATGTGACTGCAGAGTTAGTTTAGTCTTCCACAGCTTTGAGTCCTTCAGAGCTCAGCGTAGGTGCACCTCTGCGTAGGAATACGGCAGTGCAACGGTTGAAAAAAATGTAGTTCCGAAGGAAAGAGCTGTTTATCAGTGAGAGGAAGTGGTGAAAATATTCAAAATAAAGCGTACACTTCCTCTGATAAGAGCCTTTTTTTTCCGTGGGCACGTTTTAAAGTGTAAAATATAAAGTTTTTCTTGCTACAGTGAACCTCACGTCAGATATCCAGAATTATCACTTTAAACCTGATCATCTGTCTGTGCAGTAAAGACAGGATGAGGGTCAGTGACAGTGTCTCTGTCTCTGCTCACCAGAGTCAGACTCCAGATGTCCAGTGGGTTTTTATTTCTCATGTTTATCATGTCTGTTTGTCAGATCTGGTCATCGGCATCTTGTAAGGAACAGATCTGGGTTAAAGGAAAAGTTGAGTTCAAGGGGAATGGGAGCTTTTAAAACACTCACAATAACTGACGTGTCCAGCTGTCGGACTTCAGTTTACTTGATAGCAGCGGTTTCATTCAGTCTGAAGTAGCTTCCACTAACACTGAGACAAATGAGCTTTTCTTTCAAAATTTGAGAAAAGATTTGATAAATAAATGTTGATTTTCAAAATGGAGATGTGTTTGTCTTCCTTCTCGGTGTAATGGAAATGTGGCGGTGTTGTAATGTGTGGCGAGATTGTCAGACATGCAAACTGTCCGTTACTAAGGCAACTATAAGAGCACAGTCTAATAACTGAAACCCACCCCTTCCTCTGTTCAGTCCTATCTCTTTCCACCACAGCTTCCTGCTCCGTTCGCTCTAACTCTCAGCGCTCCGGCTTTATTTCCTCCCACAGGAAAATTATCAGGTGCTTGAACTGCTGACCTCCTCGCTGCCGGGGGGCGGGGTCAAAAGTTTCTTCTGTGACCTCAAGTGAGAGAAGTAAACGTTTGGTTGGCGGATGGACAAAGAGGCACTGTGACATTTAACTGTAAACCAACATCAGTGGTTGCAGAATCTTTGCATACTGAAATTTCTTCTTCTGTCATCGTCTTTTGTTGCGTTGAGTTTTCTTTAAACTGAAGTTTCAGTTCTGTTGAGTTTCAGTTTAGAAAAATGATTCTTCTTCAGCTTCTTCATAATCATCACACTGAGTCCGAGAGATTCCATCATCGAACTTCAATACTTACCAAAACGTGTCACATCATAACGATTGATCGCTTGTTGTCTGTCTTTGACATTAAACAAAAACACCTTTTATATTTACTTTAGGGCTGAAAGTGATGAGTTCATTAGCTCATTAGACGATTAATCGTTTCAGTATTTTTCCATCTAAATATTAAATATTCTCCGGCTGTGGTTTCTCCAGTCCAGGATCTGCTGATCTTTGTTTCTTATTGTCATAAACTGAATAAAACAAAACACTTTGAAATTTGAATTGTGATTTTCTGATGTTTTTAAAAAACCAAATGATAAAACAGTCAAATAAAAGAACAATCAACAGTGAAAAGAAGCTTCAGTTTGAGCTTCACCAACTTAAGACGGTGTCAGCTCGTGTGATGGTCTTTTTCTTTTTACTATTTTCTGATGTTTTATAAACTAAACATCTGATTCAATAAATGTGAGATTAACTGAGAGTGACAATAAGAAAGTTATTAAACCAAAATCCAGGTTTGTTTTTGGCAGATTTGATGCCTGAAAATCTTCCTCAGCTCCAGCGACACTGATCAGCTTCATTCCTTTGACACAGGGTGTTTGAACTTTGACCTTTTTAACCATAACAGGGCTGAAAGAGGCAGAAAAACCAGCTGTGGCAGATTCACCTGAGGAGAAAACAGGTGAACACACACACACACACACACGCACACACGGTTCCTCTCTCTCTGTTGTCGCGCAGACAAACGAGCTGATACTGACCTGATACCTGAGCAAAGCGCCCGGCAGGTGTTAACACCTCATTCCCAGACATGAGGGCGCGGCTGCCTCACCTGACCTCACCTGAACGTCACACTGATCCCAAGAGACGACGATCTGTGTTAAACTCACAAAGCCTCAACTCGGCTTCACACAGACAGACTGAGGCGTTACACCAGCTCCACCCTGCTCCACTGTCACACTGGGAGCTGCCCAGTACAACCAGTCTGCAGGAGTCTGACACAGACTGTTATAAATGCACATGATTGAATATTTAATCTAACCACTAAAGTATTAAAATTCACATAATTAATAAGTTTAGAAACCTGGACAGAAGTTTCCTGAAGGCTGGGAGGACTGAGGAATCTCTCATTATTTTACTGTTTCTGATGTTTTACAGAGAAAATGAGAGTTAAAGAAAAGATTCAGTGATTAAATGATCATTAAAATAATCATTTGTTCCAGCCCTTAATGACTAGTCTTCCTCTTAAACCTCAGCTGTAATTTCACACAAGTCGAAATCATGAACAACTCAAGGTGTCGTTTGAGATGCATCATTTACATTCATTTTGTTTGTTTTTTCTTGAATCAGTTTAAAGTGATTCACACACACACACACACACACGCAGCAGCAGTTTGTGGTTTAAAAAACAAAAAAGTCCAAATTATCTCGTTTATTTGCTTCTCTTCGTCCTGTAACGTCCACGTCTTAAAAGCTGAAGAACGCAGCGAGCCAGTGGCTGAAACGGCCGATCAACGAGCTGCAGATCCCACAGAGACAACGTCACCTGAAGCCCCGACTGAAGACGCTGAGTCAGGTGTGTGTGCTGCCAACTTCAGTTTATTTTTACTTGAAAGAAACATACGAAGATATAAACTTGTACTAGAAATGAGTCTAGCTCTGGTTCGCTCCCAGCAGCACTGAACCTCGTAAAGGAATTTATATCTGGAGTTAATGTGATTTCAGTTGGTGATGTTCACAGCTCTTCTTGGAGAAAGCTGATTGTCTTCATTTAGATCTGTCTTACAACAAAGAGTCAAAGAACAGTGTGAATCACTCATTTTGTGTTTGCCTTATTCAAATGTCAGACAGAACCTCGTCATTCTACCGCCATGAAAATAATTCTTCAGGTAGAGCAGCTTTTCTATTTGTCCTGTTGTTTCTCTTCATGTAGAACCAGAGAGTGACCCTCAACCTGCCCGAGATGATGAAGGTATGTAGATTATAACAGGATGAAGGAGTGAATGAAAGGATATGTCTCAGTCTCTGCAGTCACAGATAATCACAGGAGGCCCAAACAAATCACTACATTAATATTTGAAGCTTTTCTTCTGTGTGTGCTCCGTGCAGCTGAGCCTCTCTACGTTTTCTACCTCAGATCACTTTCTGTCTATCGTCAGGTTTTTTAGCTGACACTTGTACTGATGCTAAACTTGTGGCCTGTGATGACTGAATGCACACGTTGCCTTTTGACTGCCCTCACTGTGTGATCAGCTGATTGCCCGACATGTTGATGTCATGGAGGTAACGTTGTGGCTTCTGTCTGTGTCTGATCCAGTCTCTGGATCTCAGGACGTGGAGTCTGAAATCCAAGGTTGGTGCTGCCTGTTCACCGTGGCTGAGAAGCTGCTGCATGTGTTCACCTGGTCGTTGTCTGGATGTTACATTAACAAGCTGCTGCATGTCGACTGTGTTTCCACACCTCTCCATATCACGCAATCACACTCGTTTCTTCTGAGTGGAGCTGTATGTTCTTCTGTGTGTTGATGTTCATTCGTTGTAATGTCGGGGGGGGTCGCGGGGGCGGGGCGACTACAAAAGGGGTGGGGGGCAACGGTGGGCAACAAAAACAAACACAAAACAAATCATGAAAGTGAAAACACAATTGTAGTTTCCCTAACATGAATTAAGAATAAAATAATAAAATAATGTGATGATTTCCATTGATTTGCATGATTTTCCTTTATTTATGTTAGAGATAAAATATTAGCAATCATTAAAATTAACCCCAACTTAATATATTTCTACATTTTCTGTTTGTGAAATGTTGTTTTCTTTCAAAGTAAAATTCCGTTTTCTGACTGATTTAAAGCTCCATCCAGTCTAAAGGTCCATGTGTAGTTTGATTAAAACCAGCCGTCAGGACTTCTGGAACTTTGTGATGTCACAACAAAGCGGTCACCAAGCCCCGCCCACCTGGACCCACCATCCAAACCTTGCAGGATTTGGTTTCTCTGAGTGTTTTTACCTGAAATCTGCCATATTTTTATTGGATCACTCAGAAAACAGTCAGCCAATCAGAAGAGAGGCTCAGAGCCTCCTCTCTTCTGATTGGCTCACTGACCTGTTGTTACTAGAGCTGCAGAGAGAAGCCTGAGAGAGGAGATGTAAAACTACACTGAGATGGTTTTTTGGTTCTTAAAACCACAAATTTGTAAAAATCTATTTCCTAATATTAAAGGAATAAACAGATGAAGAAAATAAATGCTGCTTTTCTATGTAGCTGCTGTCACAGACGAACCTCCGTCATATCAGAGGTGGAAATAAACAAATTGTTTATGTTTGATTTTAAAGGCTGATATCATGTTAATATATCAGGAGACTGTTGATTGACATGAAGGTGAAACTTTTACCTTGAATTTAAACGTAGCAGTGACTCTGACCGTCTCGCCTTCAGGTGATTGGTTTGGGTGTTTGGCTTGTTACAGCTTCACATCTGCTGTTTGTGTCCTGGTCACTCGAGACTCTGAAACGTCACCTGATGTTTAGTGTCGTGTCCCCCCCCCCTCCTCATCACCACCACCTTCCACCTGCTCCCACTCATCCTGTTCACCTGCTGCAGGACTGTTTGTGTGTCTGTTTTAACTCGTGTGTTTCGGTGTCTCCAGCTGCCGTCCCGCTCCCTCCTCCGGTGGAAGACGACTTCGTACCAGGTCCGTTAAACACAGTCTCTTCTTTTCTTTTAATGCTCTGACAAAGAGTCACATTTGGATATTTAATCCTTGTTTTGTAACAGCTGCAGAATTCTTATTTCTCTAGTCTTGAATCTTCAATTCTCCTTCTACATCTTTTCATGAAATAAATGAATAAGAATCAGTTTCAGTTTGTTTTAAGTGACTTTCAGATGTTTCTTTAATGTCAAAACTTTATTTTCTTCCTCTGGTCTTTCAGAAAACATAATATTTGATTCATTCTTCAGTCTGTGTGTTATTATAATGACTCTGATTCTCCGTTGCAGATGATCCTCGGGACAGTGCACATCCATATGGTCAGTAAAATCTCCCAGCTTTAATAAATGTTCGTAGTTCTCAGAATAATTTCCTCCTGTTGGTTATTTTCTTTCTCCTTGTTTCAGAGGAGGAAAGCAACACGATCGACACCACAGGAGGTGAGACGTGACGTTAACATGACGTGACCTTCATTAGCTGAAGCAGCAGATGGTGGTAGAGACCACGGCACCATCAGTTCTTTAACTAAGAGACGTTATTGAAACAGATAACTGTGTTTGTACAGACAGAAACAAAGACAGACAGTTGATGATGTTTTCTGTGTTTCCTGCTGCAGTTTTGGTCGAGGAGCCGCCGGCGGAGGAGAGTGTCGGTGAGTCAGACACACTGAGGGTGTGGAACTAGTTCAGTTTGTTATTTTGATTTAGTTTTATTTCTGGTTTCTGTCTGTTTCCAGTCTTTATGCTAAGCTAAGATAACCAGCTAAGCTAACCAGCTGCTGACTGCTTTAATGCAGATTTAAAGAAGAAAGGAATCAAACTGAAAATATAGACATGAGTTACATCTCACAGGCTGAAAAATCAAAGCACTAAACGTGTTATAAAAATAGATAAAGCTGGTTTTACAACACTCTGACTGAAGGTGTTATCCAGCGTTATCACTGAGTGATTATCAGCTCTGATAATGAGCTGGTGTTTTAATGTGTTAATGACACCAACGAGGAGTCGTTAACCGTCGTATTGTTTTGTGTTTGTTCTGCAGTGGAGTCTGCACGGCATCTGACCAGCTCCAAACTCTCACAGGAAGCAGGTACAGGTTCTTTAACGTAGCTGGTACGTTTGTTTGTTGTAGTTCTGTGTTTTTTTACTATGTTTTTATATTCAGTCTGGAACATGAAGGTTTTCAGGACTGTATGATCCACAGACACGTCCTGGAAGTGCTCAGACTCTGCTCTGGAAAGTTATGAAACTCATAAACGTCACTGAATTGCTGTGTATCTCCTGTCAGAACCAGTTGTGGAAGCAGAGAACCAGTCTGAACCAGAACCACAGAGTGAGACGCCCAAAGAGGCAGAGAGCGTCCCAGAGGCCGAGGGTGAGCCACAAAACATAACATCTGTTTTCAACTTCTTCCCCCACACTGATGATCTTTGCCTGTGATGATTCAGAAGCTGTTTGGCCCGTACAGGGTTCAAACCCGTGACCTCAGCACCACACTCTAACCAGCTGAGCCGACCTGCTCTTTCTGACCTTTGTTTTTTCTGAGCGTTTGGTATTTTAGAGTTTTGTAAAGGTGTGATCTCTGTGTTTGTTTTTTAAAGTCAACATATGTTGATTTAATGCTTAAAGGTGTCAGCTGTTTCTTGTGTCCACTCTTTGATTTCCTTTGTACGACAGGAAGTTGGTAGATTTCCTGTGTTGTGAGTCATAAATGAACAGAAATCTCTGCAGGTGTGAACGGAGGGCTGGGAGGTTTTCTGTGTTTGGGATTTGAGCTCAGATGCCAAACTCAAAAGGAACTTGGCCCGTACGGGGATCGAACCCGCGACCTTGGCGTTATTAGCACCACGCTCTAACCAACTGAGCTAACCGGCCATGTGAACTGGCCTGGCCCCTCTCCATTATGGCCTCCATTCTCCATAACTTCAGTCATTAATAAAATGTAAACAGGTGAGTTACAGAAACAGGTGTGATGACGGAGGAAATTAGCTGTAGAGACCAAGAGACCTTTGTCTCCCCCCTCCCTCACAGATGGTAGAAGGTCGGTGCTTGAGGGAAAGATGGCTTCCTCTACAGAGTCGGGACTTTGGGACTTTTTAAATGTCTGTTCTTAATCATAAATTATGAATCCTGAATTCTTCTATGAAATCTTAAAATATGGAAAATGAATCAGGTTTTTCTGCAGGTTGAATTATTCTGTCATGTAGTTATAAAACAACTCAAACAAACTGGACGATGTAGAGCCTCAGTTTTGATTTCACAACTTCCAGTCCTTTGAACGCCCCTGGTTTCACTGCAGCTGAATTTTGACTCAAAAGCTATTTGGCCCGTACGGGGATCGAACCCGCGACCTTGGCGTTATTAGCACCACGCTCTAACCAACTGAGCTAACCGGCCGTGTACAGGAGTCACTCAGTCAGTCAGATCAGAGTGTGGTTGTGGTTCTACACATCTGTAGTGAGACTTTGATTCTTTCTCTTCCTTTTCTTTTCACAGCTGTTTCCAGACTCTTGTCTTGGAACACTGTAAATATTAAATGTTAGTCTCTTTTCATCCATGTTGCAGGAACAACAGAGAAACAAGCCGAGGACAGGCTGAAAGAAAAAGGTAAAAACCGATAAAGATTTAAACAAACTGAAGAGAAATGTGTTTTATTCCTCCTCCTTTGATCCTCTCTTGTTCTCCCCGTTTCTCTCTCTCCTCCAGCAAAGAAGAAGAAACTGAAACTGTTGAATAAGTTCGATAAAACCATCAAAGCAGAGATCGATGCAGCAGAGAAGCTTCGCAAGAAGGTACAGACGTGACGCTGACACCTGTTAGTCTGAGCTGGAATCAGGAACACGGACGTCAGTAACTGATGCATTTACATGTGTTTGTTAATCTCTGTGTCAGGGTAAGGTGGAGGAGGCGTTAAGAGCCTTCGAGACTCTGGTGCAGCAGTATCCACAGAGCCCCCGCGCTCGCTACGGAAAGGCCCAGGTGCTGCACAGTACGACAGCACAACATACAGTGAAGTGGTGCTGTGTTAAAATGTTGTTGATGACGATCCGTTGACCTGCAGGTGGAGGACGACCTGGCTGAGAAGCTGCGTAGTAACGACATGCTGCAGAGAGCCATCAACAGCTACAGAGAGGCGGCCGAGCTTCCTGACGCAACCTCTGACCTCCTGAAAGCTGCGCTGAAGAGACGAGCCGAGAGACAGCAGTTCCTGGGTAACACAAACACTGTACAGCTACTTAAACTACCAATAGATACCCCACTGCCCCTCCTGTGCCTCTCTCAGACATGCTCTCCTTATTCAAAGCACTGTAACTCGTCAGGTGTGATTTAGATCATTTGTCATGAGACTCCAAACTTTACAATTCAAGGTACAAGTTTAGTGGCTTAAAATCTGTTTGTATCCGGTACGGGGATCGAACCCACAACCTTAGCAACTGAGCCAACTGAGCTAACCGGCCATGCAAGTGTGTGTCCACTCATCAATTAAAAAAATCCAATATTGATTATTCAAACTTAATCAAAGAATGTCTCAGTTGATTAGTTTTTTAACAGAAAAGTGACAAAGATAAAGACTTTCTCTAAATGACCTCAAACCTGTCAACACACATACATGCAGCTACCTCAGCTAAGCTAATATTAGCTAACACTTACAACATGTGTTACATGGATGTTGGAACATTTGCTGAGTTCTTCATTTAGACACTAAACTTCTCCATCACTGTGATGAAGAGCTTAGTGAGTAAGATAAAGTATATGTGGCCCGTACGGGGATCGAACCCGCGACCTTGGCGTTATTAGCACCACGCTCTAACCAACTGAGCTAACCGGCCGTGGAGACAGCTGATTGAAGAGGGTTGGAGTGTTTTAATTATTTTCTCTGTGTCTCAGGTCGGATGCGAGGGTCTCTGGCGACTCTGGAGAGGTTGGTTCAGATCTTTCCAGAAGACGTCAGTCTGAAGAACGACCTGGGCGTCGCCCACCTGTTACTAGGAGACAACAAGGGCGCCAAGAAGGTGTATGAAGAGGTGTGTGTCGGCCGCCAGCCGTGTTAAAGTCGTGTTTGTTCCAGTGGGAGGAGTTTGTTTGTTTGTTTGTTGTTAACTTTTCACTGATTGGCTGCCTGTCCTCTGTGCCACAGGTTCTGGCGGTTGCCCCCGGCAACGGCTTCGCTAAAGTTCACTATGGTTTCATCCTGAAGTCAGAGAACAAGATTGCAGAGAGTATACCATTCCTGAAGGTGAACACACACACACACACACACACACACACACACACACACACACACACACACACACACACACACACACACCTTCCTGACTTGTTGTTTGTTTGTAGAGAGTCTTCAGGTGTAATCAGACCTTGAGTTCATGTTTTCTAAATACACATCTGTATCTCTGTCCTGAACATATTGACCATGAAACCAGTTTTTAAGAGTCTTTGAAGAAAAAAATAACTTTCCAAAAACATCTTCGCCTCAGTGATAAAAACTCATCATGAGATTCACTTCCTGTTTCTCTGCAGGAGGGTCTGGAGTCAGGTGAACCAGGGACGGATGACGGGCGTTTTTATTTCCACCTGGGAGACGCTCTGCAGAGGGTCGGAGACAACAGCGTGAGCAACACACACACACACACACACACACACACACACACACACACACACACCTGATTATTTTACTCATTAATCACTTAATTCTAAACACAGATGCAGAATACGCTTTTAAAATGTACAAGCTCTGATCAGGACAGTCCTGCAGTGTTACCTGTCAGCCACAAGGTGGAACCAAAGGGTTAACCAGACAGGCTGAACCCTAACGTCCAGATCCACAATCTATCAACAGCCTGCAGACGACTTCCTGCAGAGTCCACTGATGTTGGAAAGTTTTACGTTGTACAGACAGAACTTGGATTTGTAATAATTGTTGGTTTTTGCTGAGTCTTCTGCTTTAAAAGCTGCTTGGCCCGTACGGGGATCGAACCCGCGACCTTGGCGTTATTAGCACCACGCTCTAACCAACTGAGCTAACCGGCCATGTTCATGAGTGATCATCCATCCACTCTAAACTGTCCTGTTTGAATCCTGATGTGGAACCTTCATCCAGATAAATGCAGATATAAAAACCACTGACTTCCTCCGAGGTGGAGATCCACGCTCGGTCATTCCTCTGTGTTTAACTTTAAGAGATCAGTTCTCTACAGCGTTCCTCTGTGTCTCTGTCTCCAGGCGTATCACTGGTATGAGCTGGGTCACAAACGAGGACACTTCGCCTCGGTGTGGCAGAGATCTCTGTACAACGTGGACGGACTGAAGGCTCAGCCATGGTGGACGCCTAAAGAGACCGGATACACCGACCTGGTCAAGGTACGCTGTCCGACTGTGTGTGTGTTTACATGTGTACAAGGCAGGTTTCTGAGAGTGTGTGTGTGTGTGTGTGTGTGTGTGTGTGTGTGTGTGTGTGTGTGTGCGTGCGTGCAGACGTTGGAGAGGAACTGGAAGACGATCAGGGACGAGGCTCTGGCGGTAATGGACCAAAACACGGGACTGTTCATACCTGAGGAGGAAAACCTGAGAGAGAAAGGAGAGTGGGGCCAATACACACTGTGGCAACAAGGTACACACACACACACACACACACACACACACACACTGCTGCTCACTTTTCGAAAGCGCCTTCAAATGCTTCCTTCTTTTCCTGGGCCCAACATATCCCAGGATTCATTGCAGGCTGGTAATAAAAATAATATGACAGCAAATAATAATAATACTGACAACTGTTAAAACCAAGGACCTTAAAACCTCAAGCTTTTGTGAAAATCCTCCGTAGACCAACCGTCTCTCTTCAGCTCACGTCCTCTGACCTGGGAAACAGCTGTTGTTGTACATGTAGTTATATGTCTGTGTTACCTTCCTTGTTTATCCTGAACTGAGAGGAGTCTCACACACTTTAAACTGTAAACTAATATAAAGTTATAAACTGACTGACGAATGAAAACACAGAAAAGTTTTCACTGTGTTTGTTCAGGGAGGAAAGTTGCAAACTCGTGTCAGGGCGTCCCGAAGACCTGCTCTCTGCTGGACAGATATCCTGAAGCTACAGGCTGCAAGAGAGGACAGGTACACACACACACACACACACACACACACACACACACACACACACCTGGGCTCTCACACTGATGTGATCTGATTATAGGTCAGTTTATAAGAAGCATCTGGTTTTAATCTGCCTCTGTTTGCCTTTTTAATATATATGTGTGTGTGTGTGTGTGTGTGTGTGTGTGTGTGTGTGTGTGTGTGTGTGCGTGTGTGTGTGTGTTCAGATTAAGTTCTCAGTCATGCAGCCAGGTACTCACGTGTGGCCTCACACTGGCCCCACTAACTGCAGACTGAGGATGCACCTCGGCCTCGTCATCCCCAAACAGGGCTGCAGGATCCGCTGCACCGACCAGATCAGGTACTGCTCCTCCTCCTCCTCCTCTTCCTCACCTTCATCCTCACCTTCTCCTCTTCTCCTCATCCTCCTCCTTTTTGTCTTTTTCTCTCTCCTCTTTTGTGTCCAGTGTTTTGACCTTTTTGTTTTTATTTTCTTTCTTGCTTCACCTCCTCTGCTCTCCCTCCCTCCCTCCTCCTCCTCGTCTTTCCTCTTCTCTTCTCCTCCTTTCTTGTCTTTCGCTCTCCTGACATCGCTCCGTCTGGATCTCATTTCTTGAACCAAACTTCACTGTCAAAAGCAAAGAATTAAGAACTGAAGTGTTGATTCAAAAGGGGCTTGGCCCGTACGGGGATCGAACCCGCGACCTTGGCGTTATTAGCACCACGCTCTAACCAACTGAGCTAACCGGCCATGTGACACTGGCCCCTCCCCCCTCCGTCACAGATGGTAGAAGGTTGGTGCTAGAGGGAAAGATGGCCTCCTCTACAGAGTCGGGACTCTGGGACTTTTTAAATGTCTGTTCTTAATCTTAAATTCTTCTGTGAAATCTTAAAGTATGGAAAATGAATCAGGTTTCTGCTGATTGAATTATTCTGTCATGTAGTTCTAAAACAACTCAAACAAACATCAGAACAACTTCGCTCACAGATCTACAGAGATGATTTCTTCTACACAGCTCTGAGGCTTCAGTTCCATATCTGTTGAGTTTCTTCTCTCTGAACTGAAGGAGTTAGTCTCTGATCAATGGCTGAAAAGGTACTTGGCCCGTACGGGGATCGAACCCGCGACCTTGGCGTTATTAGCACCACGCTCTAACCAACTGAGCTAACCGGCCATGAGAGGAGAAGCTCACTTGTTCACACCAGACCGGACAAAAACCATGTCCGTGTCCTGTCTGCACGTGCGGTTGGTCAGCTGCTAATTCAGGTAAAAGGTAAAACAAGGTGACGGTGGATTGGTTCAGCGGAAACAAACAAAGGCAGCAAAGTGAGATGTTTTCTTAGCGGTGATGTGTCCGGATCTCTGTTTGAAATATTAGAGAAAAAATCAACCTGCACATTGAACAACATCCTGCTCACCGCTCAGCATCACAGTTTATTAACTAACGCTTCCGTCTCTCGACCTTCGTCAGAGGTGTTTTATTTTCCTCATGGTCACACACCTGGACACAAGATGGTGGAGCATCATCTATTTAAGATCATAAAACACCTCTGACCAAGGTCGAGAGAGACCGGGACGTCGGGATATTCTTCTTTACGACAGTAAAGTGCACCTGCACCTGAGACGTGTGGATGTTTTATACCTTAAAACTTAAGACTTTTCCTCCATGTCTGAACATATGGCTGACTTCTTCTCCTTCTTCTGCGCTGTGTGTCAGGGAGTGGGAGGAAGGTAAAGTCCTCATCTTCGACGACTCCTTCGAGCACGAGGTTTGGCAGGACGCCGACAGTTACCGCCTCATCTTCATCGTGGACGTGTGGCACCCGGAGCTGACGCAGTACCAGCGCCAGACTCTGAGCCCGATCTAGACCGGGAGGACCGAGGAGCAGGAAACAGACGGACGGATGTGGACTGCGACCCTGGTAAGAGTCTTGAAGGATTCTTCCTCTGTGGATAAAAAACTGTTAAAAACACTGACGGCCTGAATCTGAGAGGGAGCGGAGACGTTTGACCGACGAACTGACGGGATTTTTTTTTTGTGGATAAACTACTAAAACTGCAGAAGACTGTCGGAGGACTGAAGGATCTTAATTTGAAAAAAAAAAAAAACGAAACGTATTTTCTCCTGGGTAATACTACTGACTTGTCCTCTCACCAAAAACAAACTGAACACATACGGTACCTGTCGTAGCTCTGCTTGGACCCGGTGGTTCCCGCGCTCATGGAAATCTTTCAGCACGATGGAAGAATGTATTTTCTAACTCTGGAAACGAGTCAGGTTTAATGTTAAAGGTACAGATGTTACAACACCAGCTCTCTGGAGTTGAACCACGTTGAAACACTAAAACAGATGAAGAAAAGTTGGAGGGAATCTCCCTCATCACAGTTAGAAGAGAATTGTTGTTGCTGCGTTTGAGGGAAGCTGTAACTTTAGCTCGACCACTATGCATCTTTTCAGTTTATCAGCTGGGTTTTCAGTTTCACCTTTTCATCACTTTTGCACAGTAACATAAAAGATGATTTATATTTATATAAAAAATACAGAAAAAATTGCAACCACAAAAACAAAAGTGTGTGTTTGTTTCTTCACTTCCGCTTTGAGCCGAGCGGCTCCCGATCCTTCATTCTGGTCTTTTCATCACGTGGCAGTGAAACCCGCGAGCAGAAACAGCAGAGGTTAAAGTTTGTACAGTTAAACACGACTGCAGTTAAAGTTTCTTTACTTGAACGTGAAGAAAAAACCTGCAGCGGAATCCAACGGTTCTTTAAAATGAGCGGCTGTGCAGTTCAACTGTGGCTTCAATTCATTTCATTTATGTTGGATTTTAAACGTTTAAAAGTTCTACAGTTTAACCACAATATATTTTATTGAGTATCAGTTTAAGCTGCTGTGACCAACACCTGCACATCTCACACTTCTTATTTCTCTGCTTTTGGACTTTTATTTGTTTGATTACAGAAGCTTCATGTTAAAAGTCTAAACATGAACGGACTCAGACACAGTTTCATTATTTATGTGACAGATCTGAAGGTAAGAGGAACTCATTAACTCATAATGTTCAGTCATGAGTTTTATTTGTTGCTCCAACAGGAAACGTTCCTGTTCTGAGCGACGCCTCATTTTATTCCAAGTTAACACAGGAAACTCAATCAATTTCACCATGACTTTCAAAATAAAACCCCCGCTGTTAAATGAAACGCAGCACGACCACATTGGTGTAAATGTTTACTTCTATACATTCATTGAAAGGAAATACATTACATTACAGTCGAGTGGAGATCAGATCACTGCTCAGTGTAGCCCTGATGATGAGTCAAACACTGCAAAAAAAAAATCGGCACAAACTCGGCGAGTCGCTCTGAGTTTTTACAAATAATCTGTCCAGATATTTTTGAAGTGAAATTATCAACCTGCAGATTTTCAAATATGATTTTAAATCAAATTCTTTTCTTCTGCAGGCTGTGAAGATAATTTCACTTTAATTATCTCGGGATAAGACCGGCCAAGCGTGACACTTTTTCTTTTTTTTTTGCAGTGTAATAATACTATAGCAATAATATACAATCTTCAAATAAGTTAAATTCAATAAAAACAATCTTTCCCTTCACTGCAGGAGAGGTTAAAGGTGAGAGTTTGGCTTCCTGTGGTCTCTTCACAGCACGATACGATTAGCAGGAAGAGGATTTCACCCTGGTAGAACAAACAGTGTTTCAAGTCTTCATGCATGTTTTCATCCGGTTACAGCGTCAGTGGTTTCTTGTGGAGACGAACGCGGTGCTTTTATTTTTTAAATGTTTGTGCGAAGTCGGTCTAACTTGTCGTGATTCTTGTGGAAGTGGAATTTATTTATTTTTCTACCAAAGTGAAGCTTCCTCTGCATCGTCCTCAATGTTCCCGCCTCTGTCAGATTTATTTCTGTCACATCATAAAGTCCAAAAGGAGACAAAAACATTTTACGTTCTTGAATCATACGTTGGGGGAAATCCTCCGTAAAGAATTCAGACTGGTGATGAAGCCTTCAGATTTAGACTCGCAGCTCAAGATAAATGCTCTGTCTGAAGCAAGGATTATTTAAACCTGGATTAAATCACGTTTTGTTTGATCTTTCTGTTGCACCACAAATTTAAATCTAAAATAAATGAATTAGCAGAACAATTATGATCATAAGTCGTCCAGCAGTTACAGAGCAAGATTTAATAAACTATGATTAAACTTAATAAACTTAATCTGAGTTTAAATGAATCTTCGTTGGTGCAACCGGCTCTGAATGATTCTTATTTACTCACTGGTTTGATTGTTTTGATTTAACGTCTTCTTCCACAGTCTGAGGGTTAAATAAAGTTTCATCACATTTGAATCTGGGGTCACAGTTCACAGAAACGTCACGGCATCACATTCCCGCTCGTTTCTGACAGAGTCAACGACACTCGGCGATGACGCACAGACACCTCAGGGTGTCGTCACCGCCGTGGACATCAGGAGAGAGAGGCTCAGCTGGGAGGCATTGGACGGCTCAGAGACAGGGCAGACTGTGTGTGTGTGTGTGTGTGTGTGTGTGTGTGTGTGTGTGTGTGTGTGTGTGTGTGTGTGTGTGTGTGGACATGTCTTTCTGAGATTGTGTCAGGTTTACGGACGAGGGAATTCATTATGTCAGTGAGTGTCCTCACAACAATAGAAAGACCAACATGTGAGTGTGTGTCTGTGTGATGTAAAGAGAAGAAGATAATGTGTGTGTGTGTGTGTGTGTGTGTGTGTGTGTGTGTGTGTGTGTGTGTGTGTGTGTGTGTGTGTGTGTCAAAGTGGACGTTGTAGTTTGTTCTTGTCTTTAAGAAGTGTGTCAGACTAAATCTGTGCATGTGTGTCACAGATCTTAGTGTGTGAATATGTGTGTTACTCTGTGTGTGTGTGTGTGTGTGTGTGTGTTACTCTGTGTGTGTGTGTGTGTGTGTGTGTGTGTGTGTGTGTTTCTGTGTGTGTGTGTGTGTGTGTGTGTGTGTGTGTGTGTTTCTCTGTGTGTGTGTGTGTGTGTGTTCAGTCCAGGGCCAGTAGCGGCGTGCTGGTCTCTCTGTCGGTTTGTCGGAGAGTTCCTGGTTCAACGGCCGACTGAGACCTGAAACACACGAGTGTGAGTGAAACTCTAGAACATTATATCACGTGATCATCACATGACATGACATCACTCTCGTCCCCACTCGTCCTCCTCACCTCTTCATCATCTCCTTGTCTCCTCCTCCTCCACAGTTCTCCCTGACGTGCAGCGCGTCGTACGTCAGCGTGTACTCCGTCTCGTCGTTGTAGTCGGGTCCCAGCAGCGTTCGCGCCCAGATGCCCATGTCGTACGGCGGCAGCGTCCCGCCGAACTCCGACGGCAAACACTCGGGCTGGATGAGCTGGTGGAGCGAGTTCAGGTTGTTACCGTGGAGGAAGATCTGAGGAGGAGGAGAGGAAGAAGATGAGGAGACAAGGAGACGAGAGAAATAAGAAAAGATGAGGAGGCGAGGAGAGGAAGAAGAAGAGATAAGGAGACGAGGAGAGAAAACAAGGAGACGAGAGGAAGAAGAAGAGATGAGGAGGCAAGGAGAGGAAGAAGAAGAGAGAAAAAACAAGAAAGGAAGAGATTAAGAATCAAAACAGAAGAACAAGAGAGAAAAAGAAAAGAGGAGGAAAAGAAAAGGAAAATGAAGGAGAAAGAAAAGAAGATGATGTGAAGAGGAGGAGAGGAAAGAGGAGCGAAGGCTGTAAAGTATGAACTGAACCGAGGAGGAGAGAGGAGAAAAAGGAAGGAGGAGGATGTTTGTGTGTTCACCCTCTTCCTGGTCTTGTCCTTGAGGAAGGGTTTGATGATGGTGTACATGGCGTGAATGTACCACGGCTGGTTCACAAAATGGATTCCTCCGAAGCGAGCGGGAAAACTGTCCTGAGGACGAGACGAGGGTCGAACAGCTGATCAGAGATCTGAGACATGACGCCGCCGTCACACAAATAACACTGATACGATGTAATACAGTGGTAAAAACAGTGTGTGAGTCTAATTAAGTATAAATATAATAATCTTATCACGTTAATACTGAGAAAATGTTCATCTGTAAAGGTTAAACAGCAACGAATCTTCACTCATAATTCAGCAGCAGTGCAGGTAAGAAAGATGAAGTAACATCAGTACTTCAGCGTTATCTCCTGTAGCTAAAGATGCTACGTTCAGCTAAAACCAGCGACTAGTCGTGTCCAAACAACTGAGACTCCTAAATCCAGTTTTCAATCTGTACGAGAGAGACGGTGGCGTGTCCTCACTCGGAGGTGACGGAGGTTCGGTTCGTGTGGTTACTGACCTGAAGGCCTTCGATAGCCAGCTTCAGGATGTTGGGCGTGAGCTTGGACGCCTGTTTGAAGGAGAAGTTGCTCCAGTCGATGATGAGGATGAAGCCGTTGATCTGGAGCTCCGGGTTTTCTATCAGGACCTCCAGGGAGAGCAGGATCGCCCGCAGGATGTCTGTGAACGAGTTCCTGGTGGAGGGAGGAGGAAGAAGAGGAGGAGGAGGAAGAAGAGGAGGAGGAGGAGGAGGAGGAGGAAGAGGAGGGGGAGGAGGAGGAGGAGGAGGACAGAGGAGCGAGGCAGGGAAGAATAGAGGAGGGAGTGGAGGCCACGCACGGGAGACGTGAAGGGTGGTTAGGGTGAGGATCAGAGTAGATGGAGGGGAAGAGGAGTAGAAGGAGGAGGGAGGGAAGGAAGAAGACAGGTGAGGGTGATAGTAGGTAAGGAATGGTGTGAGGACGGATGAGGCACGGATAGAGGTAGGAGGGAAGAAGGAGCAGGAGGCAAGAGGAAGAGAAGGGGAGGGAGCGAGGAATGAGGACAGAAGTCGGAGGAGGTAGGGAGAAAGAGGAGCGAGGAGAAGGAAGAGGAGGGATAGGAGGAAGAGAGAGTAGGGAAGGGAGGGAGGAGGAGGAGAAGCGAGGGTGTATAGAGGGAGGAGGAGGAAGAGCGAGTAGGATGGAGCGTGAAAGAGAGGGACGGAGGGGTATGGGAGGGAGTGTGGAGGAAGAAAGGAAGAGTGAGTAGAGTAGGAGGAATGAGAGGAGGGAGGAGGTAAGGAAGAGGGAGGAGGGAGGAGAAAGAGGAAAAAAGATGCGGGGGAAGATGGTGTGGATGTGAGGAGACGAAGAAAGAGGAGGAGCAGGAGGTTTGTAGTGAAAAACGTGTGTGTGGTGTTTTGGGGGTTGGGGGGTGTTTTGGGGGTTTATTTGGTTAGGGGTTTCAGGTTTGTTTAGGGTTTTTGTTCTGTTAGTAAAATGTGTCTTAGAATAAAAATGAGGTGAATAGATATGATCTAAGAAGAGAGTGAATCATTAAGAATGAGTGTCGAGGCTCCTTTCGATGCTTTTAAGTTACTGGCAAGGCTCTGTGATGTGCGCAAATTATTTTTATTGTAGAGTGGACAGAATGTGGCTCCATTAGGATCTCGTTGTTGTTGTTGTTCACGTCTCAATAGCTCTGTGTGTGTGTGTGTGTGTGTGGTGGGTTGTGTGTGTGTGTCGTGTGTTGGTGTGTGTGTGTGTTTTGTTTTGTGTGTGTGTGTGTGTTGTGTTACGCTGTCTGGTCGCCAGTTGGAGGGCCGCGAACCATGGATCAGGATTCTTTCGACCATGTTGGAATGCTGAGTCTCCACACGCCCGGGAAACCGTCATGCAGCCGCTCGCCTTACAGTACCAGGGTCAATCCACCTGAACACATCACACACACACACACACACACACAACACTTTCGATGCACGCTTAAATCACACTATGTGAACGTGGCCAAAAAGTTTGCAGACACCCAACATCACATGTGCCATACTACACATTGACTCAGGAGCTGCCGCGACTTGACGTCGTTCTGGAACATGTCGAGGCTTTCCGTGCTGCCTGGGAACTGGAAAGTGACTGGGCCAGCAGCCTGAACCGTGCTGGTACTTCACCTGGTCGAACTTCTGGCGTCTTCAGGCGAAGCGGAGGGATGAAGTCGTCGTTTTCCGTCGCAGTGAAACCATTGATGTCAGGCCGCGTCACGATCATGTCCCCGGCACCTCGATTCAGCAACATGACGAGAGAAGAACGTCATTTCAGGTCGGGGGACGCTGAGAAACTGAACGCTCATCGGTTTAGGAGGAGAGAACAGCGAGGGAATACAAAACTGTTTCATCTCATGGCTCATTAAGTCGTCCCGGACAACAGCACGACACAATAATTGATCAGTGTTTGGACTGATGCTCAAAGTAAAGATGTTGGTTGCACTCTTCAGACGACTGTGAGTCGGAGCCTCGTCTCACCTTTCATTTATAAAATCTTCATTTTTGTCCGAAGTGACGTGGAAACCAGAAGGTCAGCTCCTGAGCCACAGCTGGATGAGAAGGTTGCGTGTTCCACTGAACCCACCGCTGCAGGTGCAATTCGATGTAATCATGGTGAGACGAACGTCGAGGTGAGTGAGTGATGAATGAAGCAGATTGCAAGTTGGAAAACTTGTCGCGGCTGTTGATCAAACTGTGTTAATTTAGAACGCACACCGCAAGCTTTTCCTTCTGTCTTCATCTTGCAGTCCTGTGTGAACATTCATTCAGTTTTTGAAATTTTAGATTTTCTAATCTAAAGCAAAGCTCAAACTCACATAAACTTAAAGCTGCCATATTTTTCTTCTTTCTTGCTGTGTTTTTATTTGCAAGTGTTTGATCCATAAGAAGATATAAAAACCATCTCAGTGTAGTTTTACATCTCCTCTCTCAGGGCTCTCTCTGGAGCTCTAGTAACACAGGTCAGTGAGCCCATCAGGAAGAGAGGAGGCTGCCTGAGCCCTCTCCTTCTGTATTGGCTTGACTGTTTTCGTGAGTGATCCAAATAAAAATAGTAGCGATTTCCAGGTAAAAACACCTCAGAGAAATCCAAATCCTTGGCAAGGGTTTGGATGGTGGGTCCAGGTGGGCGGGGCTTGGTGACTGCTTGTTGTGATCATCACAACGTTTCCAGAAAGTCCTGGAACAGGCTGGTTTTTAAGAGCCTCAGTTTTTTCTGTATATCAGCTTGTGTGCATCTTCTCTGTGGACTGGAGGCTTTTGATACTTTTCACACGTATTAATATAGAAGCTGAGAGCTGATTATATCACACTACACATGGACACAGACCTTTTACACCTGGAGGAGCTTTAAGTACAAGAAATCAAAAGAAAACGGGGTTTAAAACGGCAACAATGAAACTGCAACATCCTGCTTGCACGTCCAGGTGTGTTCAGAACAGGTGTGTTACGACAGGTGTGTGCTGTAGCTGTTTACTACGCTGCCTGGATGTCCTGGTGCAGAGTGTCGGTTTTCGTTCAGGTGCCTCCGCAACGCGCTTTCTTCCGTCGTCCTCGGAGCTTTACGGCGGCGTGTAAGGTGTGTTCCATGGTGGATGTTGTACTGTAGCCCACGCTGACGGTTGACACAAGGATCAACAAGGTGAGCTCTGTTTTTTTTTTTTAAAACTTTTTGTGTCCAGGTGTTGTAATGAAATTCCGAAGGACGCGTAGTTCAAATGATCAGTTTAGTTTAGTTGTTTGAGGTCTTTGTAGTGGCTCAGTTGTTTCAATTACATCGTAGTTTTTGGTGGGTTAGAAAACGAGTGTTTGTTATTTTTA